CCCATTGCTCCACGCCGGGGTGGGTAGATTAGCACCAGCTGCGGAGCAGGCATGGCTCCAAGACGCCCATGGCAACCACGAGTGGCAACAACTGGTGCAACACTTGCGGGAAGCTCCACCCGTCCCGTGGCGCCATGCATTGGCGGTTCTACAAGAAGTTACCACCCACACTGGAGGAAACCTGTCCACCAGCGAGGCGTCCATCCAGGCCACTCTCGCCAGGGCAACAGCACACTTGCCACCAGCAACGCGCATTCACCTGCCGTGGGCATTAGACCACTTGACCGAACCCACGGGGTATATACCGGCAACAGCTTTACTCCACACCTTCCTGGGAGACCGCCTGGCGGCACAAGCGGCCCTCCTTGCAGACAGATGGCGGCAACCAATGCCAGCCCCAGTGCCAAGCCAACCCAGCCACACTCCACCACAGCAAGCTGACCGGCAAACTCCCAACGCCACACCGCTGTCCATCCCGACGGGCCCACAACCAACCATGCCACACACGGCCGCAGAGACCCAGCAGCAACCCACCCCACCGGACCACCCCCCGAGCCCCGGCTCCAGTTCCAGCACCGCCAGCACCAACAGTACCACTTCGACATCGTCCACCTCCTCCAGTTCAACTACGCCAAGGGCCCCGCCCGCACCCCACCAACAGCCACAGCAATTCAGGCAAGCCTTGGAAAGCCTAGACCAAGTTGACCTCGACACGGTGCTGAAGCAAAATTTTTTCGGTTTCCAATCCCCGCCTCCTCTCTTCCGAGGGCGGATCCGACAAGCACTAGCCACAGCACTTGATGCCATCAATGCCGCCGAAACGGAACAACAAACAGTTCGGGCATGGAAACTTTGGCTCTTGCTGCCGAGGATGCTCTTACACAGACAGCCAGGCGCCAGAACGCTGCCCAAACCAGAGTGGTATGCCCGGATCCAGGCGTTCCAGTCTGGCCAATGGTTAGCTTTGCTCCAACGAGCTCGGGCCACTGCAGCCTCTCCAGCAAATCCACCACCAAGCCAGAAGGGCATGCCAACTCATCCACCAAGGGGAGCTGTCCGCCGCACGGCAGGCCCTCACGGCCACAGCATTGGCACCGGGAAATGAGAACACTCTGAATGAACTTCGGGATCCAAACCAGCCCCGTATCACCCTGCCGGGAACCAAACCCCGCATGGCCAAACACTCCAGCCCCCAGACCTCCAAGCCACACTCCTGCTCACGAATTTGGCGGCGGGCCCGCAAAGGAGCGGCACCGGGGCCCACCGGCTTGACCAGCGAGACCCTTCGCCTGATCCTCGATGACGAACAAACCACAGAATCGTTCATCGGGGTCGCCACCAAAGTAGCTCAAGCTCAGCTCCCGGCAGCAATCAGCCGGGCCATCGGACTAGGCCGAATGGTCGCACTCCAAAAACCGAACGGGAGGGTACGGGGGATTGTCGTCGGTGACCTCCTGCGCCGCCTGGTCTCCCGATGTTTGGCCCAAACCTATGCCAGCCACATCCAACGGGCGTGCAGCCCCCACCAGTACGCATTGGCCACCAGGGCTGGAGCGATGCCTCCCCTTCGTCAGCATGTTCTACACACAGCCGTCCACGTATGTGTGGCACGACCAGGAGGGCAACCCCCATGACATCACTCAAGCCGAAGGAGGCGAACAAGGTGATCCGCTCATGCCAGCTTTGTTTTCTTTAGGGCAGAAAGCGGCACTCCAAGCCGTGCAGCAGCAGCTCCAGCCCGGAGAAGCATTATATGCTTTCCTTGACGATGTCTACACCATTGTTTCCCCGGCACGGGTACGCCCCGTTTTCGACCTGCTGTCACACCATTTGTTCCACAGTGCACACATACAACTGAACACCGGCAAAACTCGCGTGTGGAATGCTGCCGGCCTCAGGCCACCAAACCTCGAGGGGTTAGGCGACAACGTGTGGGTCGGCAACCAGAACCTGCCAACCACAGAACAAGGCCTCCTGGTCCTTGGCACACCATTGGGCACGCCACAGTACCAGCAACACCAGCTGCAACAACTGCGCGCCCAGCACGACCAATTGCTCGACCGCATGCCAGCCTTGGGCGACCTGCAGGCCTCATGGCTCCTGTTACTATTCTGTGCCAGCCCCCGCTGCAATTGCCAACTTCGCATGCTGCACCCAGAAATAACAACCAATTTTGCCGCCGCCCACGATGTCGCCGTGGCCACATGCTTCACCCAGCTCTTAGACACAGCCCCTTTGCCAGCAACAGCCCTTGCAACAGCACACCTTCCACTTCAACTGGGCGGCCTAGGCCTCACCTCGGCAGTCGCGACAGCTAGGCCAGCTTACTGGGCATCTTGGGCTGACACCCTACCCATCCTCCATTCCCAAGCGCCCCCACTAGCAGCCACCATTCGCCACCAGCTGACCCACCCCCAAGAAGCCACAGCCAGTGTGCGAGCAGCCATTCACAGTGCGGAACATCTCCGCCAACACGGCTGGGAACCACCAGCCTGGGATCAACTTTTGAACCGAGAAGTTTCGCCAGAGCCCCACCAGGATTTCGAAACACCAGCCCCAGGCCGAGGATGGCAACAAGCAGCCACGCGAGTGTGCAACCGCAGTTTCCGCACAGAATTGCTACAAGCCGTTGACCCTGCTAGTCATGCAATGTTGGAATCCCAGTCGGGGCCAAATGCCAGCCGACCTTTCACCACAATCCCTTACAACCAATCCACCACATACCCATCCCACCTCTTCAGAACTCTCTTGCTTCGCCGCCTGCGGGTCCCCCTTCCTTTGTCTGCCCGCCAGTGCTGGTGCCGTCCCGCTCTTGACTTACTTGGCAACCACCGTGCCGCTTGCCCACAGGCAGGGATTCTTCGCAGTCGAGGGGTGGCACTCGAGCGGGCTGCAGCCCGGGTCTGCAGAGAAGCAGGGGCAAGGGTCACAACCAACACCAGGGTGGCAGACCTCAACTTGGCACAAGTCACCCGTCAAGATGACAGACGCATCGAAGTCATTGCCAATGGCCTCAACCTTTGGGGCGGAGCTCAACTGGCCATCGACACCACCCTTGTCTCCCCTTTGACACGGGACGGGCAACGTCGCCGCCGTGCAGGCACCTACGCCGGGGCAGCTCTCCATACAGCCCGCCGGAGTAAGGAACGCACTTGCCCGGAATTTCTCCAGTCCAGACGTTGCAGGCTGGTCGTCCTGGCTTTCGAAACCGGCGGCCGTTGGAGCCACGAAGCAACGAATTTCATTCGATTGCTTGCCCAGTCCAAAGCCAGACAAGCACCAGCACTCCTCCAACGATCCGTCATGGCAGCCCTCATTTCCAGATGGTCAGCCATGCTCAGCCACGCGGCCATGCAGTCTTTTGCAGCATCCCTCCTGGACCAAAACTTGTCCACCCACAGCAATGTTGATGGCAACACACCACCCGTCAGCCAACTCCTCGCGGAAACCCCGCCACCACCCCCCGGCCCATCCTAATTGTGGACTTTGGATTGAGCACATCTGGAGACTGGCCAGTATAAAAACAGTCAGCCGACCCAAAAGCACAGTAAGGGGGACTCATTGGACCTCGCGCAGAAAAAGTGTGTGGCGAAAAAAAATACACATAAACATACATATACATATACATTTGCATTTTACATTTACATTTACATATTCATAGACATAAACACAGATCACTGTTCGCAATTTGGGGTGTAGATCCGTTAGGTTTAGATCCGCTACCTTTCAAATTTTGAAGAGGCAGTAATGAAGCAAAGGAAACTGCGGGCATGAACGGTTTCTTCCTATCAAAGCAATGCGATTTTTTCGGGATAAGCCGTTGATTGAAACAATGGCAACCAATCTAATGACAAGTGACCCCTGTCAGTTGAAACTTACGATTGAGGGTTCTGAACAGCAGGCATGGCATCGGCTCCATTGACACTGACCTTAAGCCCATGCAACAATAGACACCGGCAACAGCAATGCCAAGTAATGACAACTTTCGCACCTGTATATGCAAGCACATCATCCGTTACCTTGTGCCATTTTGAGCCAATTTGAGCAACTTTGAGCAATTTTGAGCAGTCCCGAACAGTGTTTTCGGGCCGGCTTGGGTCATTTCGACAATTTTTGTCGGGCAAGTTTGGGTCAAGCAATTCTGAACAATTTTTGGAAGCACGATATGGCATTGTTGACCTTGGACCGTGTTCAAAATGTCTCAATTGAGGCTGCTTTGAGACATCTTACTTTGGCAGAAAAAGGTAGCTGATGTAAACCCCACGGATCTAGACCCTAAAACGAGATCAGTGAACAGACACACACACACATCCACATACACATACATCTACATATACATAGACATATACATAGACATAAACAGAGACATAGACATATCCATGTACATACACGGATACATATACATATACAGATACATATACATATACACATGCAAATGCAAATGCACATACAAGTACAAATGCAAATACAAATGCAAATACAGATGCAAATACACATGCACATGCCAATACAAATACAAATGCAAATGCAATTTCAAATCCAAATACCAATCCAAATACAAACCCAAATGCAAATGCAAATGCAAATGCAAATACAAATGCAAATACAAATACAAATGCAAATGCAAATGCAAATACAAATGCAAATGCAAATGCACATACACATACACATGCACACACATACATACATACATACACACATAAATACATACATACATACATACATACACACAATCAAACAATCAAACAATCAAACAATCAATCAATCAATGAATCAATCAATCAATCAATTTATCAATCAATCAATCAACCAATCAATCAATCAATCAATCAATCAATCAATATATATATATATGTATATATATATATGTATATATATATAGATATTTTTACAACGTATTTAATAAAAATCATCAAAATATTGCATACCAAACCGGCCAAACCGGCCCTTATGCTTGACCCTGCCAAATTGACCTTGGGTCGGTGAGTTTGTGGCACCAGGACATCGCGCGCCAAGCACATCCTCTGCACCAATCCGGTCATACGGCGGCAATTTGATACATTCGTTGCACAGGAGCTCCTCAATTTTTGCGTGTGATTTTGGAAAAAGTAAAGCCGGCATGGAATGAGGTGCTTTACGTCTAGATTCTGTATCCAGCTGCCTTTTTGCCACTGCGATGCAGCTTTCGGGTTCTGCATAAGTTTCAGTTTCTCCGCTTCTGAGGTGACGAATTGATATACCAACCTGGTCACAGATGGGCACTCCAGCTGCAGCAAGTTGCCCACTTTGCTCTGTGAGCAAACCTTCGAAGGTTAATTCCAGGGTGGGTCTGTTGTCGCAAATTTCGGGGTGGTGTTTCTCGTGCGTCGCTGAGGCATGTTTGGTTGAGCAGGCACTCGTGCATGAGGTTCAGCTGGAAGAGGCGGGAAGATCAATGAATTTCACATTTCAAAGCCTTGATTGAAAATGATAGAAAATGATGAAAATGATTCACAAAATGATTCACCCTTTGCCTTTTAAACCATTCTGAGACTTCGTGGTGGTGAATTGCCTGTCAGCTAGATGTTTGTGGTGTGTTGCTGGCGTCTCAGGCAAGAATGCTCGATGAACTCTATTCAATGCGTTGCTTGGAAGCGCTTGAGTAGCGCTCGAGTAGGCCATGACTGCTCATGGTACTCCAGCAATAGGGCTGCTTCATGACAGATTGCAAGGCTGATGAATCATAGTCTAGGCTAATGTAGCCTAGCTGATTTGACCGAGCCCCGGGTTGGAGAGTTCCCCTTTTGCTGTGGATTTCACATCAGAGACTTTCGTAAAGGACTATCTTGGCAAGGGTGTTTGTATCTGAGCCAAAGAGATGTGCCGTGTGCTTTGCCTTTCCAGGAATGCACAGCACCTTGGCTGCATCTCCAGCTGTTCTTTCGACCAGGACAACAAATTTGTGACCCTGTGCCGTTTCAGGTGCATGGCGAACGACGTTCCGCACAGTACAGAAGAGAAGAGCTTCCCAACTTGATTGTCCCATTCCCCTTCAGGCAAGGCATTTTTCAGGACTCTCAATGTATCTCCGAGCACAAACTTTTTATTTCCAGGAGATACCCAGAAGGATGTCCACCAAGCACCAGCTAGGAGCCTTGGCTTGCACTGGTTTTTCACAGCATTGGTTTCGAGGTTGTGCATTGGACAAGTAGATGAGTCATGGACATCCGTTTCGGCAGAAATGTGCCTCTTGATCATCTGTGCTCATCTCTATGCTGCTGTAAACCAGCAAGGTACAGCAATCCTAGATGATTACCATCAGAGGCATTTTGGCGGCATTTGCGACCTGACAATTGCTCCTGCGATGATCAAAGTGGCCAAGTTTTGCTCAGGTGGCAGAGGATGATTCTGTCTCCTACCAGCCGCCTGCTCAAGAGTTTAAAATTTTTACTGTATGTAGGGAAGCAGCTGCTCAGGTGATACAGCATGTCTCTTGAGGTAACTTGCGATTGGGATGGCTGATTGCTGGCATGTTCTTCATTTTCATTGTCCCGCGCCTAGCACTGTGCTGCTCCAAATTCGAATGCTGTCGAATGCTGTCGGTTCTGCAAAAATTGCTGGAGGACATCCTGGTGATTCCGTTATCTATCTTCGACTTGGGAGATCATATCTTCTTCAAGGCCAGATTTGCAAAAAGGCCTCACGTAGGCAGAAAACTTCAGAGGATGTGGTGAGATACTCAAGTTTTTCATAGTTTCTCCACTGAATGGCCACCTTATCAGGTCCAACAGGTGGTGAGCTGGCTCTTCTGGCTCTTTGATGTTTTCGTTTCCTTTATCAGCGGCTACGACAAGACCCTCGGAAAAGGCCTAGACGGTCACAAAGCGCGTCCTCTTAATGGTTGATGTTAAATATATAGGTTTTGCGAATCATGTCTTGCGATGTCAAATGACAGCTCCTGTCTTTGCCTAAGGAATGGGCGCATTGAGATGCGGCCTGCAGTTATTGCCAAAATGTACTTGCGAACGATGTTTCCCTTTGCCCGCTGCCTAAAGCTTTGATACGCATTTCTATGCATAAGTCAGCCTTGCTTGATCTTGTGTAATTGTCGCACTTTGATTGCCATTTGTGCTTGCAACGCCATTTCTTTGACCAAAGGATATCTTCATCCTCTCGAGCCTCGGCAAATGTTGTATTCCAAACTCAGATGTGGGATATATCTATGTTTTTTTTTCGATGCAGCGTTTGATAGCATCAGCGGTTTCACCAACTTTTTCGACGGTGCCTTGAATAAACGGTTACACACATGACCAATCAATACTGACATCCCCTCATCAGCAATGCTGAACTGCTTTCTGTCGCATGGCTGGATTATGCTGGATTGGTGTATCCGCTGGCATGTCAGGATCGATGTTATGATGTTCACCTTGGATGCTTCCCTGGGTTCAGAAGCGGATGCCCTGCGAACGACTCGCATCATCCGATCATTGTGGCTTGGACCATCAGCAGCTGGCTGCAACCAGAAAGTATAATACTAAAATTCTTGAGTGTTTGTTCGTTTTTTGGGAATTTGGGAGCTTTGACACTTTGCATCCTAGGCGATTATTGCGTCTACTCAGGCTGGAACCTCTAAGAACCCTTAGTGGGTGACACTGTGACACGAGCCAAACGAATTCTGTTCCTATGACATTTTTTCTCCGTTGTTTATTTCTCATCCTCTGCTTGGCTCATGAGGTTGCTTCGCGTTGGAAAGTTGAGGGCGATCTTGAAAGCCACTTGGCAAAGTGATTCCACTAGGAACGCGCCATGCCAAGTAAATGTATCCACTCAAACATCTTGCAGCCAAGGCGTGTGAAAAGCGTGACTTGGAGAAATGGTTCAGTGATGTTCAGTGCACGCTAGTTGCATCAGTGCAGCCATCTGTGAATCTGTTGTACCAGCGCCTTTGCACAGGACTGCGCAACCCCTATTCGGTTTTGGTGCTCAAGCTGTCATCTGCACTTGCTACAGTTCTGAGCCTTGGATGAAGAAGCCACACTTGAAGTGGGATCTCTCAATGATCAGTCTTTGAGTCAGGTACTGTCAGGTACTGCGGTCAAGATTTTATCATATTTTATCCTTGATGATCAATGTTGCGTGGCACATTGTCATGAAATCATGCTGTAGCTTACATTCCAAGGCTCATCAACCACTTCATTGCCTGTGGTTGGTACTATGTTGGGCTTGAAGGCGGGCAATACCCTGCAGCAACGTTGGTGTCACTAGTCCTGTCACATCTCGGTGACCTCAGGTAATCCTTCGCGAAATTGGATTATATTGTCTCAACTGGATGGTCAACCCTTTGGTGAGGTCTGGACCTCAGAGCCATGCGACCAATTGTTGTTTTTGGGTGTTCCGAAGAAAACAAGACCATCAAGCGGCATGCTGGTTAATGATAAATGGAAAAGGGAGGGCCAACGGGGTGCCAAGGAAGTGTCAAGCTTGATGTCGAGCTGTGTACAAGAGCTGCTGTAACATTGCGCATGAAAATGCATTTGAGGTATACGTCTCTGCAATGCATTGGTCTCTAACACAGTTCATGCCCGCCACCAACAACATCGGTGGATGCCTTGGATGCCTTTGATGCCTTTGATGCCTTGGATGTCTTGGATACCTCAATATTTGGCAATTTCCTCTGCCACCACGTTTGTGTTCGTCATGCGCGTTCAGGACCGGACAACGTTTTTGAGCGCTTGTTTGCAATAATGACGGCGTGAAACTGAGATTCGGAAAGCAGTTCAGCAGTCGTTGAAGGTTGAAGGTCTATCCAGTACCGGAAGAAAGCAGTTCAGCAGTTGTCAACTTGTGGTGGTTGCAGCCCCAAAGGAAAACTACTTGCAGCCGCCAAGTTGAGGTCCTGGTGGCTGTATGCCTGTTTTCATCACTGGTGGGGTCCATCACAGCTGCAGTTGGATCGTTCCGTCAAGTGCCCTGGCCAAAGAGGTTCTTGAAGAAAGGGAGTAAAAAAGCCCATGTGGGCGTGCTTTTCAGGTGCAGGCTGAAAAGCTGAAGCAAGAGGCATCGGTGCACGCATTCTTCGAGGCACGAGATAGCATGCATTAAAGCGGATGGACACAAAATGAAAGGGACCTCCAAAGCGCCAAAGATAGCTAAAAAGATAGTGGTTTCCATGTGAAGTCGCTCTTCTGATAGCTTTTCCTCGAGGAGCGGAAGCTCTCTGCGGAGCTTTTTGACGAAATGCGGGAGCACGGGCAAGAAAGTCAGAAAGGCACTCCCCCCCTGCGGTCGGGGGAAATGGAAGGGAGCAGATCGTGTTTTGCCTCAAATTCGGGACTTGCAATTTGCATCTCAGACTCCTGCCGAGGCAGGGATATTGCAGTGGATGTGACTACCAAAATGCCTGGACCCCGAAGCTGCCGAGATGTGTCCACTTGTCCTTTCATCCTTTGCCCCCTAGCCTTTACTGGAATTCAGCTTGGGCCCTGGCATCGAAGGTCAGACATAAAGCTCTTCCGCGACTGCCCCGAGTATCTGAGCCCAGCAGCATAGTGCAGCAGGCTAGAAGTGACGACTAGCCAAGATTGTAGGAAAGACAAAGCGTGACATTGGTGGCAAGGCGATGGCAAAACGAGAATTGCTTTTCATTGTTGCTTCTCCTTGTGCTGTGGCTCATATTTTTTACAAGCGAGGTCGCTCAAACTCCGCTTGAATGAAGAGGTATTCATGCCGGCTTGAAACTGAGTCATGGCACGATGTTTTAGCCTATGCCAGCAGGCATGCCACATGTTGGTTTGAGGCTTTCCAACATCCAGCATGGATCCAGAAAGACCTGATGGACCCAAGCTTCCTGCTCAAGGTCACATGACTGATGTTCTTTATATCATTCATATCACAGTCATAGGCCTGACAGAATTCGTGAAATGCAGGTGTGCCACACAATGTTCGAGAAGTTGGAGTCTCCTGCGAAGGACAGATGTGGCGAGATGATTAAATCCAACTTCAAAGACTGAACTCGCCACAGCTGAATGGAGCAAACTGAAGAACATCCAAGGACCTTTTTCTCCCTGATCAGACGGCAACCTTGGCTTTTTATGTGGCTTCTGGAAGCCTGAATTTTGTCTCTCGGCATTGTCAAGTCGGCTTGTTTTGCGGTTGAGAAACTGGAATTTGGACCATTGAATGACACAATCTGTCAACCAAGGCTGAATCGCAGGGGACAATTCGAAAGAAGTTGGCAGCACAGATGCGAAGAACAGATAAAGCTGAAGAAAACATGACAGAAGACTTGGAAACGAGCCCTTCAGTTTTGCCATAAGATAATTTCCATGAAGGATGTTGCTATGAGAATGTCATACCATCTCTGCTGCTCAGGGTGGGTCCTCCGAGCAAAGTGCTTCCCGGTTCGTGGCTTTGTGAGCCGGTGTCGCATGGCTGCACAGCTTTACTTCTTCTGCTGACAGAATTGTAGTGCTTCAGGCTGGCATGTATACATGTATAGACTGTATAGATTAAAACGTATATTATTATAGATGTATAGACTGTATAGATGTATAGACGTGTAGATGTGTGTATAGACGTGTAGATGTGTGTAGTGTAGACCAATAGATGTGTATATAATACTTATACCTAAATGAGCCTAAATGTATATGTACATGTATAGGTATTTGTATGTGCATATGTATTTGCGGAATGATAATATGTTTCTATATATGCTTCTTGGTGACTTTGAACAGAGGGGCCACCGTAGGTGCGACCAAAGAATAGGCCACTTGCAGTCATTTTTCGACCAGGCTCTGGGCGCAATGGTATCACCGCAGCTTGGCAGCAACAGTTCTTACCCAGGGGCAGATTCAAAGATATTCAAAGTCCAAGAAGGTTCAGATCAAGAAAAAAATGTGAATCATGGCAGGTGGGCAACTCACAAGTACCAGCACATCTTTCCTGATGTGTTTGGACAGTGTCCTTGGGCCCAGATCGAGAGACTCAATTAAGCTTGGGCTTGTCCAAATTGACCAACATCAAAATTGAAAGGCTTGTGTCGACAATGCCCTCCCTGGCCGCATTTTCAGGCCAAATTCATAGATTTGGCGCTTGAGACTGGTGGCCCAACATACCAGCACCTTGGCTTGCCAGGCGTTTTCGTTCGATTTCCAGACAAGTGGGAATCAGTGTCAAATGACCACTTGAACCAAGGTTTCTATTCATGTTTGGCATTCTCTATGTGGGCATGATGGAAAGGCTTTGCTCGGAAGGCAGGACTGCTTTGAGTGACAGGTTCAAACCTAGAGATGGGACATGACAAGCTGGGAACCTTGGCCAGGCTCGGTAGTCACAGACCGAGGAATCGAGGTACCGGAGCTGCATTTGATCACACCCCAGGAGGGCAAACATTCCAAAACATTCCAAAAGATTCCAAAACATTCCAAAATTATCAGCATCAGTCCAAACTGTCCAAACTGTCCAAACTCAGAAATTTCAGAAGTCCAGAAGCCAAGGCACAGCACATGCATGACTTGGCGGAGACGTGGTCCTTTTTTTGTCGCGTCGCGAGGATTGTAGGCATCAATGACCACATCGATGGTGGAGAGTGGTGTTACAAGTCGAGCATGTTGAGTTTTAGATGCCTGAGGATCGTGCCAGCAAGTTCCTCGCAGTTTCAGCAAGTTCCTCTGCATTCATGGGAAAAGGGAAGGAAGGGTGTGGGAACTTCAGACTAGAGCTTGAAGAGATGCCTCTGTCGAGCACCACTTGATAGATGGCACTCTTGTAACCTTGGACCCCAATAGAATAGAATGACAAATTACGCGTTGTTGTTGCTTTGCAGCGGGTGACCGGCAAAAGGTTATGAAAAGGCTTTGCTGCCTAATATGTGCTAAAAGCATGATTCCAACTTGCAATGATCTACAGTTTCACCCAGTCCGCAAAGCACGGACAGAGGGCTGATGCCAAAGGCATTTGCCATGGCTCATGCAATCGGTGACGAGCTGAATTGCTACAAAAACTCTCTGACAGATGAATGATCAAAAATGGGGGTGCGTGAGATGGATTAATGGGTCTGTGTGCATGGGTGTATGGGTGGATGGACAGACCAATGGATGCTTGAGTCGATCAACATACAGAGGAACAAATTGGCCAAGGGATAGACAAATCGAGACAGGCGGGAAAACATACAGATACAGAATACATATAGATTCTAGTCAAGACAGAACGAGATAGCCACAGACAGATGGAATGAGAGATGGAGATAGGAAATGGACATGCATAGATACGGGCAGGCATAGGCAAATGGATATAGAACTAGAGATGCATGAGATGTGGAGCTCCACTGTTGCAGGCTATCAGTTTCGGGCTTTTCTGCAGCAAGTTCAAATGCTTCTGGATTCGATAATCAGCCGTTGGCTCACTACCTCATGGGCCACCCAACTCAGTTGTAGTCTGACAACAGGCCAGCTGACAGTTGTCCACAGGAGTTGAGCCTTGAAGTTGCAGCAACTGACAGGCCATGCCACGTTCCATATTTTCCATGACAGGCTAGGCAGTTGGGAGCTGGGTTGCGGCACTGGGAGAAACTGCTAGTTAACTGTTTGCCCTTGGCATCCTTGGTTTGCGGCAATAGTGAGGAAGCGGGAGGACATGTTTTGGAACCAACCTCTGCTGCAGTTTTCTCTTTGTCAATAAAGTCAAGGTTGCCAAGTTGCCCTTGAGCCATCTCAGAGCCTGGCTGATGACATCGCTGAAGAAAGGACATACTGGTAGGGTGCAAGCTCACCAGACTCGAAAATCATTAGTCATCGGATCATTCTGTGCTGAATGATGAAGGTGTGGCTGTCATCCTTTCTGTTCTATGCCTTGCTGCTGGCTACCGTCAACAGCTACCAAGTGCAGGGTTCGGTATAGAGCCCGGGCCCATAGCCCTCGAGAGTTTGCATCAGCTGCATCAACCACTGAAACTGCAGCTGTTGTTTGGGCTAAGGAGCGATGCTGGCATTGACGCTGGCCATCGGCACATCCTGGAGCCAGTTGCCTCAGAAGTGCCAATGATGCGATGCGAAGTGATTGGCATGGTACCATTGGTACATGATGAACATCGTTGCAGGCCCTGTGCAGAGATGGCCCTTCTGCACCCACCGCCAGTGCCAAGCACTCGATTTGCGTTGTGCACGTTGCTTCTGTTCAAGGGCGTTGATCTTCAGTCACTTCAGTCCAAGGTTCTTGAGTGGAAACGCTGTGGCCTTGGATGATGGTCAAGAAACATGGTCACTCTTTTCATACCAGCCTGACATACAGCTCGCTGCACCACTGCACTAAACTTGCTATCAGTTTCCTTCTTCGTAATTAGGCAAGATGTCTCTTGGTGCCAGGATTGTCTTTGGAAACTCAGGGTGTTTCATCCGTTTGCTCTGTGGCTCAGACAAAATGCCACAGCAGCCCCATGTTTTCTTTATGGTGGCTGGTTGACAGCCTGGGCAGGACACTGGGACACACGCTGGACAGTCGGACAGACGTCTGGACAGGTCCTGGACGCTGTTGTAAGTGTTGTTTGCCTTGAAGCCAGGACGGCAAGATGCCAGAGGATGGTGGGAATCCCTGTTGCTTTGTAGATGGGGCTGAGCTGGCCAAGACTCTCAGCAGAAAAAAGTGCCGTTCCAAATGGTTCAAACCTCTGTTCAAACCTCTCAAATGGGGAATTGTGGTCCTGACGTCCTCTTTTTCCAAGACACACAAGCCTAGAAGCTCAGGAATGAAATCCCTGACACGGCCACTACGGTGCTGCTTGGGGAATGCACACACGGCACGGAGGAATTTTATCACTTGCGTGCTGAGCGGCTTGTCAACGTACAAAGCTGAAGTTGCGGCAAGTGTTTCTGGCCAACAGCAAATGACCCGATGCTTTCAATGCTATGCATGCCAAGGATCAGCAAATATTTGATGCAAAACAGAGGCTTCAACATCATTCTTTGTGAGAGTGACTGGACTTTCATGTGGCACGTGAACCAGTACGTGCATCGGTCACTCAGCCAAACTGGTTTGGTGGGAGGCTTGTCATGTGGCTTTGTTTGCCGCTGCCATCCAATGTTTTCGCCCACATATCCCAGGAAGAAGAGCAAAATGTTTCCAGACACTACACGTTTCCCCGCTTCTTGGCGTATGGGAACAAATGATTTCAGGGGGTTATTTTGCTGTGTCAGGCTGTGTCATTTGTCAGAGGCCAGTCGGAGCGGCTTACAACATAAGGATTGGATGTGGCAAAATCGACCTTTTTATGAGCTGGTGGAGTGGATGAGAAAGAGAGCATCTTCTGATGGGCCCTACGTCTTTGGCATGGACTGCTACTGCAAGGAAGAGGCAAAGGAGGAGGTACTCAACTTTTTTGACTTCTACGATCGTGACAAGCTTGGTAAGGACAGAGATGGCAGAGGTCTTTAGGAGTCTTTCGGAGCGCTAAAGCCGCTATCTGCATCTATCTGCTATAGGATGAATTCTATAACTTACCTGCACTGCCTGCACGATCGGGTCGGATTCGGAAGGAATTTCGGCGGACACTCTATCCGGTGGAGCAGCCGGACCTGTAGCTTGGGCTTTCTGAACTGGCCAAATTGGGTGATTCCTGTGGTCCAAAGGGTGATGGGCTTGTCATGGCTTGTCATGGCTCCACGCTTCGGTGTAGGCACCAGGGTCTGATACAGTTATTCGAATGGTGTTCTATCTAGGCCAGCCCGAAGCTGTGGTGGAACTTTCTGATCGCACCATGCCAGGATGATGCGTCGTTATGTGGCTCTGTGAAAGCTAGAACCATGGCAAGATACGAGAACATGTAGGAGTGGCTGAGGACGTGCATTTACCTTCAAATATATGTCATACGTATATGTATATATAAATATAAATTCATACATGTACATAAAAGCAATCACACACACACACATTTTATTTGCATAATTACATGTAAAATAATCAATGTGTCCTGTCCAGCAGTTTCTATATGTTGCATTCCATGCTGTTGTTTAACCTTAGACGACCCCCTCAGAACACAAGTGGACACAGAGCCATGGCTGTCGCCCTGGCCTTTGCCGGCCCTGGCTTGGGTCTGGGAGGCGAGGCATGGCGTCCCAGCCGTTTCAGCGCTCCACGGCGGCTTCGCTCCAGACTTCCCACGGTACTGCGAGTGACTGGGGACGACGTAAAGAACATGCCCCGGAATGCAACAGAAACAGAGATCGCAGAAACCGCAGAAACCGCAGAGAGCAAAGATGCGCCCTGGACATTTTCAACACTGATCTCTCTAATCAGTGGCTTCATTGGTTCCATCTTGTCCTTGAATGCATACTCACAGTTTCGGGAGGCAACCAAGCAACGTGAGGCACTGGCACGTCAATCCCAACGCCAACAGGTGCGGGGCAGCTCGAAATCTGCGAGGATTGTGCAGCAGTTGGGTGGATCACTTTTGGACGCAGAGGCTGAGTCACCTCTATTCTCTTTGGGGCCCGTGCCACCATGCACCCCTGCTTCCAATCTCAGAGGTCCAGATCGACATTTCACCATCATCACCACGGCTGCACTTCCATGGCGCACCGGGACTGCAGTGAATCCCTTGCTGAGAGCATTGTACCTTGCAAAGAGTGGCAAGCCAGTGATACTCTACATTCCATTTCTGGAAAAGAAAGACCAAGGCTATGTCTTTGCAAAGGGCGTTTCTTTTGATTCACCTGAGGATCAAGAGAAGGTGGTTCGAGAATGGTGTAAGGAACGAGCAAAGATGGATTTGAACACATTGAATTTGCAGTTTCGCTGGTACGCTGCTAAGTACACACTTTCCTTGGGAAGTATATTCCCAGCAGGAGATTGCACACAAAATTTGCAGCCGTTGGACCCCAAGGATGTTTTGATCCTGGAAGAGCCTGAACATTTGTGCTGGTTCCATTCGGGTCAGCGATGGCCCAACCTGTTCAGACATGTCATTGGAATCGTCCACACAAACTACGCAGACTACATGGAAATTGATCAGACTTTGCCCTTGGAGTTGAAAGAAGGATCCGTCTTTGCAGCCTCAACACTGGTCTGTAGCGCCTACTGCGATGTGAACATCAAGCTGTCGGACACCATCATGCCCTTACCCAACGAGGTAACCTGCAATGTTCATGGTGTTCGCTCAGAATTCCTGGCCATTGGTGACAGGACACATGAACAAGAGTTGTTGAAATCTATTGAAATCTGACGTACATTCGGCCGTTAAGGGTATTCAAGAACCAGAAATGTCTTTTCAGAATCGACTTGGACATTCGGTTGCTGTGAGCTGTGTCGAAGGAGCCACAAGTCCGCAGAAGGGGCTGCCAAGGCCTACTATCTCGGCAAGGCCTTGGCGGCCTAGAGCCCAATTTTCAAGCTAGGGGACTCTGGGGACGAAAAAACGATGCATATCGACAGATATTTGACAATTCAATACCATATTGCAGCATACTGATCCATACTGACCATACCTCGTCATACCTTTTCTTGACTTGTTGGTCAGGCACTGTATCCCAAAGGATGGCGGGAGCTGCTGGACTTGTTGATCACAGCAGGGCCAGAGCTCAGCGATTTGGTGGTTGATGGCTTCGGCTCAGGTTCCCATGGGTTGCACTTCGTTGCTGTTTGATGTTGAAATTTGTTTAGAGGTGACACATCATATCACACGATGTTGAGGAAAGCCTTGAATTGCCATAAGATTGGAATATTTAGCGCATGGAACCTCATGAGGGGCTACAGGTTTATATCATATAAAATATAATCTGCTTCCCACAACATCCTCCAAGCAAGACTAAGAGCCTACACATGTCTGCACTCTGCAGCTCTTCTTGTCGCAATGTTGGAGTATAATAATAGTGTTCAATAGTGCCCAACCTGACGAACAGGCCCCGACTACGACGAGATTGTGGAAGAGGTGAATGGTTTGAGCGAGAACTCGGCAAAACTCAACATGCACCCTGGTATCGACCATGCTGATACACCCATCCATGGATACGGCGTCCTTATCAATCCTTCGACCAGTGATGTTCTTTGCACAGTGACCGTCGAAGCGCTAGCCATGGGGAAACATATCGTTCTGGCCCGGCATGTGTCGAATAACTTCTTCGAGCGCTTCAAGGAGCGCAAGATCTTGTCTGGGCAGCTACGGGCAGCTAATCACCGATACCATTAAGCAGCTTTAGTGGGTGAGAAACCAATGGCTTACTGTAGTTATACGTAGTTATTAGACAACAGTCGTGGACGAAGATCTTGAATGGATGCAGGAGAGATGCCACTTCTTTGAGATTGGTGATGTTAACAGCTTCACGAAAGCGGTGAGGGAAGCTTTGGCAGCAGGTGCCCTGTTTCGAGTGGCACCATCCCATGAAAATAACCTTGCACTTTGGTGCTTCAGTTGGGCCCGTTAGGCAAGACGACGGAGGTTTTAGTATGTAAGCATTTCCATCCAATGTGAAGGACCACTTCTTTCATATTGATTGCTAACATGCTACATCCCGTTGCCTGTTCCTAGGGTGCTACACTCTCACAGGTTGTCAATCTCAACAATTGTTGAACAGTTGTTCCATTGGGATCCATTGTGTTGATTTGTTTCTCTTGGCAGGCGATCCTACTCCTTTGGCTCCAGAGGACAGACACACCCTCAGCTGGGAAGCTGCTGTGGAGAGACTTTTTGATGCAGCTGAGGCACGAGAATTGAACAACTGTTTGGCATTGTTTGGCATCTGTTTGGTTTTTAGTCGTTTTTGGCTTGAGCTGTTTGCCTGTGGGGGTCAGCGTTACATGTCACCGGAGGTGCGTGTTCTTTCTGGTCCATTTGAGAGACCGTCCGAAGCATCTTTTTCAAGATTGGCCTATGACCTCCACTTTGGTGTCATGAAAGATGACACTGTTCTGGGCGATATCGTCCGTAGAACTACTTTTGGAGAGGAGGAGTACACCAGATATTGGGGAGAGCTTTCCGACAGACTCTTGGCTCCTCTTTGCTGTGCTCACCCGGAAATTGCAGTTTTGTTTTGTGCGTTTACGGTGTATTTGTCAGCTGCCTTTGCATGTCATCTGTTCTTGCAACCACTCTGCGCTTTCAGGAGCCAGCACAAAGAAGCTTCCCGCATGAAACAGTGCGCCGACAGCGCCATAGCGATGTTTTGCAGCTGCAGGTGGCATTTCAGGCCTTCGAGTTCCCATATAGTGCTGTACCGGCCACAGCAGCCAAGATTAAACTTCACTGTACAGCAGGGCTTTTGCAGAGGTGGCACAAGCCACATTCATGCAGTCACTATTACTTTGTTCACATGTTTCACCAGTAGCTTCGGCATGGAGCAAACCTGGGTCGATGAAGAAAAAACCTTGAGCTTGGAGGGAAGATGCAGGAACCGGCTCTGTGAAGCGTGTGCGGTTTCCATACCTAGCAACCCATCCACTCATATCCAATCTGCTATGAGGTGGCCCAGCATTTTAGCTCAGCTACAGTGGGAATTTCAAGCAGACTTGGGTGCGATGCGGATTCTGGGCGAATTAGCATGGCTTGACACATGTTTTCCCACACTAATGCACCATGGTTGTCTTTTTGATGTCCACAATGTTTTCCTTCAGGAAAACGCTACAAAAGACAACCGCAGATGGCAGCTGTGGGAGCATTGCGCCTCTGACGTCTGTTTTGGTTCCGAAAACCGAAGAGCATGAGAATGGCAAACCTGTGGATTCTGTGGATTCACAATTTTCTGATATTTTCTACAGTCTGTTAAGTCTGTTTGCAGCATTCTGTAGCAGGTATTGGCCTCAAACAAGTTCCGCGGCTGCTCCAAGCTTGACCAGTTCAATGTGGAACAGAATTTAGAACCTTGGCAAGTGGCCACAAGCGCAGAACCGCAATTCTTGTTTCCCTTGGAAGGCCCTGTAGAGCTGCTTTGTCCAAGGAATGCATGATTGCAGCTGACGAATACTATTCCAAGCAGCGGTTAGAACCGCCCGGATCTCGAGCAAGCTGGAAGCTTGATTTGAAACCTGAAAGGTTGAGGTCCTTGGAAATTGTCTCATAGGTTGGAAACTTTCAGGCTTAGGCGGAGCAAATGTGAGGCACTGGAGGCACCCAACCTGCATCTTTGCAATACAGTATGCTGACATCCTGTTGACCAACCAGGAACGCTCGGGACCAGCACATGATGACTACCATCCTTAGACTACGCGCACACTCTCGCGAGCTTTTCGGCCTCGACGAAAAGGAGTCTGTCAAGTTGTTGTCCGGCACATCACAAGACTTAGATTCTCGATGACAAGACTTAGATTCTCGATGGATAATAAGTGTAGATAATCCGATTAAAGAACATCCCAGTATAGATCATCCATGTCATCCTACAAATAATCCTATTTGATCATTTGTCAAGATGGCGGATGCAGTTGCCTCAGTTGCCACAGGACATGAAGATCATTGTCTGGGCGCACAACTCCCATGTGGGCGATGCAACTGCAACACCCATGGGAGGGATGGACTTTCAACGGAACGAGCCGCTTGTTGCAACATGGTGGAAACATGTCATGCAGCTTAAATGTCACATACACTGCTGATGCATTGGGGGATCACACCTGTACAAATCACCATGTTCTCAGAATGCCCAGGAAGTGGAATTTGGGTCAGATGCTCGGACTTGCGGAGGCCTTTGGTGAGCACCATGAAAACCATGATGCTAGAGAAACGAATGTGAGCGCACTCTTTAGCTGCAGCTATTGGCACTGTCACATACATGTAACCATGCACATACAATATATATATACACATATAGACGATAGAATGTATATGGTATATCATATTTCCCTCTCTGTGTCTCGCTACACCTCTCTACTCCTCCGGCCCTCCCTCTCTCCCTCTCTCCCTCTCTCCTCTCTCCCTCTCTCCCTCTCTTTCTCTTTCTCTGTTGTTTGTTTTTCTTTCATTCTTTCTTTCCTTCTCTCCATCTCTCTCTCTCTCTCTCAATGCAATATGTACATGCAGATCTGGATTATATGGATATATATATATATATGAATATATAGTGGGTATGACTAGAAACGCTTTTCCATTCACATTCTGGATGTAACCTGGTGCCTTTTTCAGTGTGATTCTCAAACCCTTGCCAGTCATGCGCCTTCCAGTTTTTTGAATTTAAGGATGTGCAGAAGCAATTTGGAATCTGTTTTCATCGTCGGTTTCTATTCCTATTGCGGGGAAGTGCGTGCAGCCAAGAAGTGGGGAGGCGAAGGACAAGTTATGGCGCTATCTCCAGCGGTTCATGGATTGAAGTATTGAACTGTACTTCTGTCATTTTCTATTTCTGTTTCCAGATGGGATTGGAAATGCATATGTCTTCATAAGTTGAAGATGCAGCATTTCGCAGATGCTTCCCCAGGTTCCGTACTCTTTCGAGCACCGCATGCACGAATGGTTCGCGGGGATGCATGCCTACTTCCCTCTGCATAGATTTCGAGATGCCTCAAAGAAGTTTGAGCACCTCAGTTGCAAAAGTGGGCCAGTGCTATGGCGAATCCTCGGTACAGGTGTTTCATGTTATGCCATATTGTTTCATATTGTTTCATGTTACTGTTACTTCAATTTATTTCATGTTTGTTTCTTCATGAGCAGTCACCGTAGTGGCTCAGACCGTTATTGGCCCATGAGACGACCTGAGGTATGTGCCATTGAAATCTCCTTTGAACATAGCGTACAGGGCAGTTCACCCCATGGTGCGAGTCAGCAAAGATCTGCAACGCTGTGAGGAAGATGAAGCCTTGAAGCATAAACATCAGACGCTAGATCCACAGAAGTCCTTCATTGCAGTGAAGCGGCTACAGATTGGAAGAAATGGTGAGGTGATCCGCTTGCAAATCAAGGGCTATGACAGGGGTCAGTATGATGGCTTTTGGGTGAACGAGTACACCAGGTATGGCTCAAGAACCATCCACTGTTTGCCGGCGGAGCATTTGAATGCCCTGTCTGGACCTGTGAGCCCAGAAAAGCTGCTCATGGTTGCAAACTTCCCAATTCTTCAACGCTGGGTCGGAGTACAATACCATCCAGAAACGGAAATTGAATCCCACTATGGCGAGATGTCAGTGGCAAAGTGCTATGATCTAGATCCTTTGACTGCAAGAAGATGCAAGAAGCATGTTGTTTGCATGAGCTGTTTTGGACTAGATCCAGGTCACCCATGGAAAGGTAGTGTAGCCAAGTTTAACTTCAGTTCGGATCACATGGATGGAATCCAAGGCAGTTTTTGTGGACAAGACCCGGGCTCTGGATGTAGACATGACTCCAGCGCTGGCCGTAACAGTCTCTGCGGCTCTGGGTGAGGATGGGCTGGTTCCAAACATGATTTTTCCACGTATTTTCAGGTAGATGGTTCGATGTTTCCTGAGGGTCTGCGGGACATTCGGAATCATTGGGCGCAGGAGAGGCAAAACACAAGCGGCAAAGCCGTGGTCACTGCCAGCCACAACCGACGACTGATGATGGAGTCGGGCGCTCAGTTGAGGCTCCACCTTTGATGTGCAGTGACACATTGACCTGGTCGGAGGTACCGGCGGATCCTGAAGAACCCCATTGAGTACATTGAGACACGGCCTTTGGACACAAATATTCTCGAATGGCATTTCGTGCTGACTGGGAACCAAGATCCATACACGGGCGGTCACTTGGGTTAGCATTTACTGCCAAGCCTTGGTTTTTGGGTTGTTGGTCAAAAGTAGAAACCCACTGTTCCCACTAGGTTTTCTATGATTTCATAGGGGGTAAACTTCATTCATGATATAACCATCCGCACTGCAGTTTGGAATCCTAAATCCATGGAGCTGGCTGAGGCAAGTATCACGGTGGCTCAGTGGCAGATCTGGCAATGCGCAGAGGATCTTTTAACCAAAGGGATTTTGCATTTGTTACCATTTTTGGGATGTGAAACATATGATTAATGTGGATTTTTTTGGTGCTTCTTGACCATCTTTAAATCCCTCACATGATCTCCCTGGTTGGTGGGAAGCACAGGTCTACCTGTCGCTAGTTTGATCTCACACCAAAACCTCCCCGAGATTGGCATTCTGCACATTCCCATCTGGTGAGGCATCCTGGAGTTCCCGGACGACTTTCCCATGAAGCCGCCATCGATCAAGATCCTTGGCCGCGTGCCACGATGAACTGCACCAACTGAATTGGTGCTCTTGGTATCGACGTGAGGCTGTTGACGCCCAGCGGGCGCTTTGAGATCAACAAGCGAATCTGCCTTTCAATGAGTGATTTCCACAAAGAGCCTGGAACCCAGCTGGAACCTACATCTACGGTAGTGACTCGGTAGTGAAGTCATGTGAAGTCCACTGAGCCCACTGTCTTGAAGCCTACACCTGCATGAGTCGGCTTCTAGGTCTTGGAATCCCAGCTGGACGGTGGAGAAAATCCTCATCGGTTTGATGAGTTTTATGTACGAGGACTTTGGGGCCACCAGTCCAGCAGCAGGTTCTTAGCTTGGGGAAGTCTGAGAATACACACCAATCAGCCAATCAAAACAGTTGGTTGCTCCTATGTGAGATTCACAATTGCTATCAGCTGTTCAAGGGAAACCAAGAAACCTTACATTTTGCTTGTGGCGGTTCAGCTTGCTCACCAGGAGAACTCCGTCTCCATTGGCTCAATTTTGGAGCCCAAAGAGGATCGACGGAGATATGCTGCAGCTTCTGCATATTTCAATGCGACTTGGCCCGTCGCGTGTCCAGGCTTTGCATGCGTATTCTTAGTAGCATTCTTGAAGTAAGCTCATAGCCTCTTTGGCCATAGCCGACCACGGCACCCCTGTTAGGGCAAAGACTTCAATGACTTCAGGCTCAAAACGAGATTTATGTACAGCTCTTTCAGACGCCGGATGAAGCGGAGGAGGACGGAGGATGAATTATGGAATCCACCTGAGTCCAAGCATGTCCAAGCATTTGGGCTTAATTTGTCATTGAATCCTTTGTGTTGGAAAACCAACAGCCAGGAGGACAACATTCGCAAATTACGCAAAGTGGCAGCAGCAGCCGATGAAGCAGAAAGCGACAAGGCCACCATCGCATTCATTTCATGGTGATGGAGTTGCTATGGAGCATAATACAGCAAGACATTTGTGTTATGTTTTGGGACATGTTTCTCCTGATTCCCTTGCCACCATCAGAATTGCAGGCTTGCAGATATTGCTTGGTGGATTCTGGTGACTTAGTAGCCCCTTGCGAATGCAAGGGGAGCGGTCAGTGGGTGCACTTAAGTTGCCTGCGGCAATGGCAGAAGTCAGTGCTTCTCACGCAGTCAACGCACCCCAAATACCAGACACGGATCGACGAAATTTGTGGCTTTTCTGCATTTCAGAGAAAATGCGGATTTGGCTTTGCTTTTGCTAGACTTTTGCTCCGTTTGTTTTGGCGTCATTTTGTTGCTGCCCTCACAGAGGAGTTCACACCAGCGATTTGAATGCATGAGAGTGGCGTGTCCGACGTGTCCAAGGCAACGTATGCGAGCGACCCTTCAAAGAAGAGTTTAAGCCCAGAAGCCGTCGTGAGGCCATCGCATTACTTCGTACAACCAGCAGTAACCAGCACCTCACAAGAGCAGAGATCTTGCCTGCGCAGGCATTATTGGAATACACTGGAGAGGAGATGGGTTCATTGAAATTAGAGGTTTCCTAAACTGGGGGTACCCCAAATCATCCATTTTGATAGGATTTACCATGATACAGCATGAATTTTGGGGTCATTCATGGAACGCTTGCCTCATGCCACTGGGACTCGCAGGAGCTGCCAAAATTGATTCAGAAAGGCAACCTTCTGGCGCCAGCCAGCTGCAGACTGTGCTTTCATGGAAGAGAAAGGGGATAGAGACGGAACTAAAAACTCTATGACATAATGCGCATAATGACATAGTATAATATGCAACAATAGTAGTAAAAAGTAACCTGATAGAAGCCACGAACCCGAACGCATTTACTAAAAGCTCACGTAGAAGAAGGGCTCCTACAGAACAATAAAGAGCGAACAGGAGATGCTCCATCGCATTAAAAGCCACTCTTGTAGAATACTCTTGCTTGACACTCTTCTCGGACAATCGTGTGGGACACTCTTGCGTGACACTCTTGTGGCATACTCTTGTGAGACACTCTTGTGGGACACTTTTATGGGACACTCTTGTGAGACACTCTGGCCTGACACTCTTGCTCGACACTCTTGTGGCACACTCTGGTAAAACACTCTCTCTCAATACTCTGAAACACTCTTGTAAGACACTCTTGTTGGACACTCTTGCTGGACGCATCTGGAACACCTCGAAGTACTACTTTGTACTACAAAGCCTCCACACAGTACATCACAGTAATACTTTATACGGCAAACCTTGCACAGCAATTCCCAGTACTACTTTGTACTACAAATCTTGCACAGGGCACTTCCCAGTACTACTTTGTACTACCAAGCTTGCACAAGGAACTTCCCAGTACTACTTCGCACTCCAGACTCCACACTCCACACTTAACTCTCCACACATCACACTCCACACGCCACACTTCCCACTCCACACTCCACATTCCACACTCCACACTTCACACTCAACACTCCACACTCCACACTGCACACTGCACACTTCACACTCCACACTTCACAGTCTCCACACTTCACAATCTCCACACTTCACACCCACACCCTCCACACTTCACACCCACACCCTCCACACTTCACACTCTCCACTCCACACTTCACACTTCACACTCCACACTCTCCACTCCACACTTCACACTCCACACTTCTCACTCCCCTTCACACTTCACACTTCACACTCTCAACTCCACACTTCACACTCCACATTCCGCACTTCAGACTCCATTTCACACTTTGCACCCTCCACTCCACACTTCACACTTCACACTCCACATTCTACACTTCACACTCAACACTTCACACCCCACACTCAACTGCACACTTCACACTTCACGCTCAACACTCCACACTTTCCACATCACACTCCACACTCTCCACTCTCCACTCCACACTTCACACTCCACACTCTGCGCTTCACACTTCGCACTCATCACTCCACACTTCCCACATCACACTCCAAACTCTTCACTCCACAATTCACACTCCAGACTCCACACTTCACACCCCACACTTCACACCGCACACTTCACACCTGACACTCCACACTTCACACTCCACACTTCGCACTTCACACTCCACACTCCACACTTCACCCATTTCACACTTTGCACCATGAACTCCACACTTCACACTCCACACTCTACACTTCACACTCAACATTTCGCACCTCACACTCTCCACTGCACACTTCACACTTCACACTTGACACTCCACACTCAACACTCCACACTTTCCACATCACACTCCACACTCCACACTGCCCTGCACACTTTACACTTCACACTCAACACTCCCCACTCCACACTTCACACTGCACGCTCCACACTTCACACTGCACACTCCACACTTCACACTTCACACTCCACACTTCATACTCCACACTTCACACTTCATTTCACACTCCATAACTCCAAACTTCACACTGCACACCTGACACTGCACACTTCACACTCCACACTTCCCATATCGCACTCCAGACTGACTTCTCTTCACACTTCACACTCTCCACTCCGCACTCCACACTCCACACTTCATGAAGTGTCAAGTGTGGAGTGTGGAGTGCAGTGTGAAGTGTGAAGTGTGAAGTGTGGAGTGTGGAGTGTGGAGTGTGTTGTGGGAAGTGGGAAGTGGGAAGTGGGAAGTGGGAAGTGGGAAGTGGGAAGTGGGAAGTGTGGAGTGTGGTGTGTGAAGTGTGAAGTGGGAAGTGGGAAGTGGGAAGTGTGAAGTGTGCAATGGGTAGTGCGTAGTGCGTAGTGTGTAGTGTCTAGTGTCTAGTGTGCAGTGTCAGGTGTGCAGTGCGCAGTGCGCAGTGCGCAGTGTGAAGTGTGAAGTGTGAAGTGTGAAGCGTGAAGTGTCGAGTTTGAGGTTTTGAAGTTTTGAAGCTTTGAGGTTTTGAAGTTTGAAGTTTGAAGTGAAGTGTGAAGTGGGAAGTGGGAAGTGGGAAGTGGGAAGAGCAGTGTAATACTGGGAAGTACTTTGCTCAAGCTTTGTAGTACAAAGTAGTACTCAGGAAACCTTGTGCAAGCTTTGTAGTACAAAGTAGTACTGGGAAGTAACTTGTGCAAGCTTTGCAGTACAAAGACGTACTGGAAGGTATTTGGCGCCAGCTTTGCAGTACAAGTGTGAAGTGTGAAGTGTCACGTGTACAGGGTGGAGTGCGGAGTTTGAAGTGTGAAGTGTGAAGTGTGGAGTGCACTCCACACTCCACACTCCACACTTCTCACTTCTCACTTCTCACTTCACACTCTCCACTCCACACTCCACACTCCGCACTCGAAACTTCACACTTCACACTTCACACTCCACACTCCACACTTCACACTGCACACTCCACACTTCCCACTTCCCACTTCCCACTTCCCACTTCCCACTTCCCACTTCCCACAACACACTCCACACTCCACACTCCAAACTCCACACTTCACACTTCACACTCCACACTTCACACTCTCCACTCCACAGTTCGCACTCCACACTTCACGCTTCACTCTCCACACTTGACACTGCACACTTGACACTTGACACTTGACACTTCACACTCCACACTCCACACTCCACACTTCTCACTTCACACACCCCACTCCACACTCCACACTCCACACTTCAGACTCCACACTTCACACTCCACACTTCACACTCCACTTCACACTTCGTACTTTGCACTCCACACTTCACACTCCACACTTCTCACTTCACACTCCACACTTCACACTGCACACTCCACTCCACACTTCACACTTCACACTCCGCACTCTCCACTTCACACCCCGCACTTCACACTCTCCACTTCGCACTCCACACTTCACACCCCTACCGCGGACCCAACAGCAGCAACATGCCCGGTTGCTTTGTACCGCAGCAAATTCAATCAACACTAGGCGTCAAAACAACACAAACAACACAACCACATCCTACTGCCAAATCCGTCCTGACACTCTTACATCCCTAACAAGTCATAAAAAAATCACATGCATTTCAATGTTGTTCTGTGTTGTATGTCTTGCAACTGCCCCAACCTAGTGTGCACATCTGAATGTACTGCTGTGTGACGTGAAAACACTTGTGACTCCCTGAGCCAAACTTTCAAACGCCACGCAATGCATAGCACTCCACACTTCGCACTTCACACTCCACACTTCGTGCTCCGCACTTCACACTGCACTCCACACTCCACACTCCACACTTCACACTCCACACTCCACACACTTCACTCCACATTCCACACTCCACACTTCACACTCCACACTTCGCACTCCACACTGAACACTCCACACTTCACACTCCACACTTCGCGTTCCACACTCTCACACTCTCACACTCTCACACTCTCACACTCCACACTCCACACTCCACACTTCACACTCCACACTTCGCACTCCAGCACTTTCACACTTCACACTTCACACTTCACACTCCAAGCTTCACACTCCACACTCCACACTCTCCACTGCACGCTTCACACTTCACACTGCATGCTTTAGACTCCACGCTTCACACTCCACACTGCACACTGCACACTTCACACTTCACACTGCACACCTGACACTACACACTTCACAGTCTCCACAGTCTCCACAGTCTCCACAGTCTCCACAGTCTCCACAGTCTCCACTCTCCACAGTCTCCACAGTCTCCACTGCACACTTCACACTCTCACACTCTCACACTCCACACTTCACACTCCACACTCTCCACTTCACACTCCACACTTCACACTCCACACTTCACACTCCACACTTCGCACTCCACTTCTCACATCACCTTGTCTCACTTCCCCCAAAGACAGTGGGCGATGCAAACATTAGAGAGCCGCGAAGCAACTTTCGCTTGAGAGCCACAAAGTCCCACGCCTGTCACGCAAAATGCACTTTCACATGTCACACGACATCACCTTTTCTCACTTTCCCTATAGACAGCGCGCGGCGTAAACATTAGTAGTACTCAGGAAACCTTGTGCAAGCTTTGTAGTACAAAGTAGTACTGGGAAGTAACTTGTGCAAGCTTTGCAGTACAAAGACGTACTGGAAGGTATTTGGCGCCAGCTTTGCAGTACAAGTGTGAAGTGTGAAGTGTCACGTGTACAGGGTGGAGTGCGGAGTGCGGAGTTTGAAGTGTGAAGTGTGAAGTGTGGAGTGCACTCCACACTCCACACTTCTCACTTCTCACTTCACACTCTCCACTCCACACTCCGCACTCGAAACTTCACACTTCACACTTCACACTTCACACTCCACACTCCACACTTCACACTGCACACTCCACACTTCCCACTTCCCACTTCCCACTTCCCACTTCCCACTTCCCACTTCCCACTTCCCCACTCCACACTCCAAACTCCACACTTCACACTTCACACTCCACACTTCACACTCTCCACTCCACAGTTCGCACTCCACACTTCACGCTTCACTCTCCACACTTGACACTTGACACTGCACACTTGACACTTGACACTTGACACTTCACACTCCACACTCCACACTCCACACTTCTCACTTCACACACCCCACTCCACACTCCACACTCCACACTTCAGACTCCACACTTCACACTCCACACTTCACACTCCACTTCACACTTCGTACTTTGCACTCCACACTTCACACTCCACACTTCTCACTTCACACTCCACACTTCACACTGCACACTCCACTCCACACTTCACACTTCACACTCCGCACTCTCCACTTCACACCCCGCACTTCACACTCTCCACTTCACACTCGACACTTCACACCCCTACCGCGGACCCAACAGCAGCAACATGCCCGGTTGCTTTGTAACGCAGCAAATTCAATCAACACTAGGCGTCAAAACAACACAAACAACACAACCACATCCTACTGCCAAATCCGTCCTGACACTCTTACATCCCTAACAAGCCATTAAAAAATCACATGCATTTCAATGTTGTTCTGTGTTGTATGTCTTGCAACTGCCCCAACCTAGTGTGCACATCTGAATGTACTGCTGTGTGACGTGAAAACACTTGTGACTCCCTGAGCCAAACTTTCAAACGCCACGCAATGCATAGCACTCCACACTTCGCACTTCACACTCCACACTTCGTGCTCCGCACTTCACACTGCACTCCACACTCCACACTCCACACTTCACACTCCACACTCCACACTCCACACACTTCACTCCACATTCCACACTCCACACTTCACACTCCACACTTCGCACTCCACACTGAACACTCCACACTTCACACTCCACACTTCGCGTTCCACACTCTCACACTCTCACACTCTCACACTCTCACACTCCACACTCCACACTCCACACTTCACACTCCACACTTCGCACTCCAGCACTTTCACACTTCACACTTCACACTCCAAGCTTCACACTCCACACTCCACACTCTCCACTGCACGCTTCACACTCCACACTTCACACTGCATGCTTTAGACTCCACGCTTCACACTCCACACTGCACACTGCACACTTCACACTTCACACTGCACACCTGACACTACACACTTCACAGTCTCCACAGTCTCCACAGTCTCCACAGTCTCCACAGTCTCCACAGTCTCCACAGTCTCCACAGTCTCCACAGTCTCCACAGTCTCCACAGTCTCCACAGTCTCCACTGCACACTCTCACACTCTCACACTCCACACTTCACACTCCACACTCTCCACTTCACACTCCACACTTCACACTCCACACTTCACACTCCACACTTCGCACTCCACTTCTCACATCACCTTGTCTCACTTCCCCCAAAGACAGTGGGCGATGCAAACATTAGAGAGCCGCGAAGCAACTTTCGCTTGAGAGCCACAAAGTCCCACGCCTGTCACGCAAAATGCACTTTCACATGTCACACGACATCACCTTTTCTCACTTTCCCTATAGACAGTGCGCGGCGTAAACATTAGAGAGAGAGCCGCGGAGCGACTTTCGCTTGAGTGCCACAAAGTCCCACGCGTGCCACGCGAAATGCACTTTCACACGTCACACGACATCACCTTTTCTCACTTTCCGCATAGACAGCGCGGCGAAGTAAACATCAGAGAGCCGCGAAGCAACTTTCGCTTGAGTGCCACAAAGTCCCACGCCTGCCACGCGAAATGCACTTTCACACGTCACACGACATCACCTTTTCTCAGTTTCCCCATGAACACCGGGACGATGCGATGAGAGAAAAACAGCCGAAACGACGAGCAAACAGTTCACCACCCCCAGACCCCCAAAAAAGAAAACAAGAACCCTTCGCTACGCATTCGGGAAAAGTAATATGTTTAATCAGGCGTCATACCAAAAGAAGAACAAATAATTTTATGATAACTTTATGATAGTATGTTGAGATATGCCGAGATACAAGAGATATGTTGTATTACTCTGTGTTACTGTATTGAAGTTGTGGACATCGCTGAGGAGCTCAAGGCCCAAATCTGAGAAGAACGGTGAGCTCATGCGTCAGCAGCGAGGAAACCTGGCAGCCCGGCTGGGCCACTTCACTGAAGCGGTCTACGTCATTTCCCTGTGCCCTGGTGATGGCCGTGCTGGGAATGAAACTCTCTGGTGAAAAATGGAGGGAACTGTTAGGAGATATGGTTGTATCCAGGCATATATACAGTATATACAATTATATATATTTACATTTATTTATATATGTAAAATATATTTCATCACATTCCATCATATCGCATCATATTCCATCATACTCGACCATAAACAATCGGGAGGCAAGGAACTACAATCATAGTTTCTCAACCGCATCATGAGAAGAGTTCAAACACTGGTACGGAGAAGCTATAGCCTGCTAGCGGCTATGGATAGCCATGGCACTTCTCAAATGTTGCCATATAAGCCATGGTGGTCCATAAGTACCATGACCTGTTCGCGTGGCTCACAGTAATGCGAGCCAGGTGCGAACCCTACAACCCGAACAAACGGGGCGGAGGAGCAGTTCTGAGCTCAGGGATTTGCTCAGGCAACGCGTTGCAGAGCGCAGGACATCACAGGACTGCATTTGTAATGCTGGCGTTTGGAACTCAAGGTCCTGGGAGTGAACCTGGTCCAAAAAGTGCCGGATCCGTTGGAGCGCACGTCGCGACCGCTGCTGAACCATGGTCCCGATGTGGAGGCGGGTCACAAGATTCACAACTTCCAAAAAAGGTCAATCAAGTCATCGATTTGTATTGACATTGCATTTCCTTGAGCAGTTTGCTGTTCAATTTGGTCTTGAACGAAACTTGAACGAATTCGCCTCCATTTTCATTCAGGTCACCACCTATCCCAGAGAAGAATGGCGGCGTCACTATGCATCCTTAGTGCAGGTGCCTCTCCATGGCTGTCGTCCATGGCTGTGCCATGGTTTCATCCGCGGGAGCGCCCAGGTGTTGAAACAGTCGCGGGTGATCAGCGCTGTGGAGCACTACTTGGGAGGTCCAGTTGAGCCCGCAGAGGCCGACCAAGTCGTTGGGATTTGCAGTTTATGGTAGACTGCAAGAAGATGATATTAGCATAATAGCATATAATAGCCTGAATAGAGAAGAAATCAAAGAGATATGATGACATAATGTATCAGACATATGTCCAGGTAGGATTCATTCTGAATTCCAAGCAGACCTGCGCCGTCTAGGCGTTTGCACTGATAGACTTGCCCGCTCCGGTGCTTGAAACTGTGTCACGGCAGCATATAAAGATTGGCATAGATTGGCATAAACTGAACCGAGAAATTTCGAAACTTGGCAGTGGGATGAGCAATGACGATGACCATCTCCGAGGCTAGAACCGCTTCCAATGCAGTTGCTGATCCCGGAGTACGGCGGCAACTGGCGAGCTGCTTCGAGCTAATGATGCTCGGATGGGCATGATGGGCATGGCCCATGGCATGTTGGAAACAGTGAATCAGCCAATCTGATTGAATTCTCAGAATTTGTTTTTAAATCAGCATGCTGCAGTACTTGGCTGTTTAGATCTGTGTTTCTGATGGGATCTGGAATCGTGGCAGCGAGGACACCTCAGCGAATAGCCCAAGTCTGTTCGAGGCTTCGGGTCAAAGGAAGCACCTCGGCACAACAACATCAACAAATGCTCAAAGTGTGACCCCATTTGTTCTGAGCAAAGGGACAATTGTTGAAACTATGTTCCGACCCCAGGCATCTATTTTGGTGACTTGACTGCATTAGGTCTTGGCAGGGCATCCTCAAGAGCAAATGGGTTGCGGGAAATATGAGAGAGATTTGGAAATATGATCTTGGCGACCATCTCAGGTGAGTTATCGGTCATTCTGGGATTACTTGCCAGTGTCTTCGTGCATGTGGGACCAAGCGATGGCCCTATGCTACTGGGACATCGACGCCGAGGGCGCTGGGCTCCATACCTGGACCATCTTTTGGGGACATGGTCTAACATCCGCTTGCCAACTTCGGTGTTCATCAGCATTCATCAGGTACTCATAAGATTAAAAAGTTAACTACACTCTAGTGAACAAACGTAGCAACCACTTTCCAATGAAAACTAGGGACGATTTCCATGTTAGTTTTCGGGATAAAAGTGCCAGTATGCAGCCATTTCGGGATAAAAGTTTTCAGTTTTTTGCGGGGTAAGTTTAAGTAAATTCATGTAACCTTTTTTGGACTTTACTTGCTATGTTAGGGTCTTCCTTCAGGTGTTTTCAGTGGGTATTTGGCCATTGGCAATTGCTATGTTAGGCTGTTACTTGGGGTGTTCTTCGATTTACATTCTTTGCATTTGGTTGTCATTCCCTGGGAAGCCGGGATGTCAAAATGGTTTTTTATTGCTTGGTGATTTTTTTGGATTTCTGGCCGTGGGCAGTCCACAGTTTCCATGTTAGTGGGGCCAAAAAAGGTCCACAGTTTCCATGTTTTTTCACTACAGAGTATAGTTAACTAATAAGGGTTTGACAGTTTTGAGCCTATTTTTGACCCATACCAATCGCCACAAGTCTTTGGTTCACAAGGTGTTGACCCAAGTATATTTGCATCGCTGCATGACTCATGCATAGCTCAGGTTGGGAGATTATCCGGTCAAGGTCTTCTGGGGGTATGCATCATGGAATGCTACCCAGCTGCTTGGGGAAATTGCCCGCCGTGGTTGGGGATTAGTGGAGCCTAGCCTGCAAGGTTCATTTTGGATTGACATCAAGCATATGTCAGTGGCTCTGAAGAAAAGAGTGCCTTTTCATGATTTTCTTTTGATCCTGAGGTCACTGATGCGACTTTGTCCTTCTCATGCTGGGACCAAGAAGTTGCTTCATGGGAACGGGTAGTGGACAAGAGCATCGTTGCTCGAGAAAGCGAGTATTCCACGTAGCAGCTGCCGTGGAATAGCACTGTGTGCAAGCTGAGGAAGCAGCAGCGCACCAAACTCATGAAAGATGTTAACGCTGAAAGTTTTCTTTTTGAGACCTGTAGAGGGCACAAATAGCGGATGTCACCATTCAATATAGAGAGTATACCGAGAGTTCAATTCATTTAGACAACCTGATTCTTGAAACTTGGCCAATATGCTCAGCTGGCTGTGGCGCTCGGCTGTGCCACCAGCTGTATACTAAGTGAATCTCCTGTTGGGTGGGCGTCTGCCGCCGTCTGCCAGACGGATCCCCAACGTCACAGTCGTGGTTTTAGCTAACTGATGCTGTCAGTTCAAAGTTTGGGCTTGGCCACTACAGCAGTGCCAGGCCTTCATCATGAAAGAAATCCTCAATGGTTAGATGAGTTGTGCAGAGCCGATATGTGCACTATATACTGTAGTGATAATACATAACCTACATTGATATATATATATATATAGATACACCATGTATTTTTGCACACGCACACACACACACCCACACACACACACATATATGTATTCATAGTATATACACATATCTTATTCATTGATGCATATTGCATCACCTATGTCACCTATGCATATATATATATTTATTTGTTTTATTTATTTATTTATTTACACACCAATACACTCATGCATTCAAATGTCGTTACATGCATACATCATGGCCAGTGGCCAGTCAATAAAGACTACACAGAGACATACACGGTAGATCACGAGATCAGAAGTGTTTTCATGTGAAGTGTCGGCCAGCACTTCGGGCCTCTCAAAACTGCTGGGATGTGTGCATGCAATGCTCAACAAACGAGCACATTGCTAATGACGATTTTGAACAGAGCTGGAGGCTCGTTTCAGCTGGAGGTCAAATGGTCAAACCAGGTCCGGCTTGTTGTAGAACCGCTGTCAGCGCTTTGTTCAGTTTGAGGAATTGTCGAATTGGAGTCCAGCTGCGAAAGTCTTCAGGCTTCGGGTATTGATTGTCCATTTATGTCCGCCACTATGCTTAGCTTGCCTTTGGTCGATGACCGGCGTTGTGTGCATGTACCTTTCGGGAGGTCCTCCATGCACAGATTTTCGGAAGTGACAGCATCGTCTTGAAAAAGGGCCCGCGTGGGTGCTCAAATTAAATATCACCCAAAAATAGATAGCAATGAAGATAGCAATGATGAGTTGTGTTAGTTTACTACTAGAAATGTCCAGTTTTGTGGCCTTATTGCCACCCCAATTTTGAGACCCACATGAGCACCACACTCTACCAATCTGGCTCTCTTGCGAAGGGATGCTGATTCTGATCTGCTTGTTGCATCACTTTGAGGAACCTACCAGTTGCACTTGTGCTATGTTGTGGTCGCGGCTGCTTTTCTTTTTTTGTCTTACTCTTTTTCTTGTTCATGTTTTGCTCATGTTTTGGCGGTGTTTCTGTGGTCTCTAGGCGGTGTTCCGGTGGTGTCTTGGTGGTATTGAAGGAATGGCATCTTTGACTAAGCGGACTCACCTGTCAGTACCAAAGGAAGCGCGAAACTTTGCTATTGGGGTTGTATGCTGGGTTAATTCTTCTTGCTCTTTTTCTTGTTCTTGTTTCTCCTCTTGTTATTGTTGCTGCTGCAATGGGTTATGACTTATGAGTCCTCAACGTGAAGGGGCAACTGCGGAGAGAGAAAGAGATGGAGAGTGTGAGATCAGCAGGGTTAGCTGAAGCATGGCGACTGATTGTTGGAAATCTGAAGATTCGTTGATTCGTTGCTTCCAAGGCGAGCGTCCTCCAGCTGGGCTCTGAGGGCTCTCAGGGCTCTCAGGGCTCTCAGGGCTGGGGACTCTTGGGGGCTCTTTGGGGGGCACAGAATCCGCCCAGGAGAGGTGCTTCAAGCCTTGCCTTCACTCTTTCACGTGCGCCCTCCGTCCATGTCGTTCCAATGGAGGTGTGGTGACTTAAAAAATATCCTGTAGCAAGGCTCGTTTGGCGCTGGCAAAGCTGTTGCATTTGATCAGGGCTTCCCTCACAAGGAGAAAATCTGGAAGGCCAGGCAAAGTGGCCATGGCCCCATGGCCCCATGGCCCCATAGCCTCATCTTGAGCGACAGTCCTTTGAAAACATGCCTTTGAGCTACACGAGAATCAGGAGCCTAAAATGGCCCCTTCGAGTCCACTGGGACGTTGGGCTCCATGCTTAGATGGGAACTTAAGATTACAAACTACAACCAAGATTGATTGGGCGACCTGTGAACCAGACAGGGATGAACAGCATAAGGTCAGATGCAGAAAGTGAGGTTGCTAAACATCACAAAAGTGAGCACAATCTGCAGCTTGACATGTTTCTTCCAAGAGCCCTAGAGCCGGTAGTAGTCAGCCCGTAGTCAGTGCCAAGGCGAATCAGGCATACGAAGAGCTGACCGTCTTTGGTGTGGAAGTGATGTTGGGAGCAGTGGGACGCCCAGAAATATCAATCTCAACTCCAAAAGATGGGTAGTGCTTCCAGGCGAATGGGACATCATATTTTCGGAAACTGCTCAGCTACTGTATTTCGGGTAGGTGAGTGTCTTAGGCGATTTGTGTTGGTGCAGCGCTTCAAAGGCCGCAGACCGGAGACCGGGTTGGTCCTGGTCAGCATGCAAACACGAAAGAGACAGAAACACGAAAGGGACAGAAAGGGCCGTCTGGATACCTGTGATGACTGTAATGTATTTGGCATTACTCTTCAGAACTGCAAGAGAATGTTGGTTGATGGCCTGGTATACGGTATACGCATGATATCGCATGATACGGTCTTTGCATGTCTGCTTTTTGGCTTAAGCATTCTGTGTCACTGAAGCCATGTCATGTTGAGCCCGCACGAGTAGCACAAGACATCTTAGTTCAAAACAGAGACAGGAGCCCGATCGTCACGGGAATTTTGAACCCTGCAGCAATTTTACCAACTTTCACCAGAGCCATCAAGTGGATCTTCCGTCAGTGCGCCAGCTGATCGAAGACGGCGGTATGGCGTAAGCGGCACAATGGGTGGCCAAGTCGCGAAGCATTGCTCTGCTACTCGGCCTGTTTCGCTGATGGAAGAAGGACGGGAGTTGAAGATGTTGAAGTCCTTGGCTGCAGGCGTGTCACCGGGGCCCTGTAGCGGATGACATCATCGAAACCAACTCAGCTATACTGATACTTGCCCAAACCTGACTCGACCAGGCTTTTTTTTGTTGTTGTTGCATCTTGCATGAATTCTTACATGCTTTGCCGATTGCTTGGGTTATGGAGGCAATGCTTACCGCTGAGTTCAAATCTTCTTGCAACCGAGGACAGATGAGCAATCTTGCGGCTGCTTGACTGTTTCGACTTCCTCTGTGTTGGGTGATCTCACGGTGGTTGCCAACAGCCTCATCAGCTGATAAGCTGACATGGCTTAGAGTCAAACACTATGTCCCACCTAGCCTCCATATGACACGTGGCTTCGGTTCGCATCTTTTCTTACACAAATCATTCAAACATATACCTAAAGACCCTAAAGCAGGTCTCTCCCATGATATGATTTCTGTAGCAAAAGCTTGAGAGCTGTTTGAGGCTCCAAGCTGCTTTTGCCGTCTCGCCACTTGCTCAAACTTAATTTCACACGCGCACGCACATGACACAACTTTCTCAAATTCTTGACGGTTGGTTTCTGAAATTCCCCTTCCTGAGGCCGCTGCAACAGCAATTGGGAACGATTGCATGATGACACGATCGTGAACCTCTTTTCTCCGGTATCTTGGTATGGACGGTTGTGAAAGTGCAGCTGCGCAGCCCTCTCGTTTTCCAGGTTTTTCCATTTCTCATCACTCTTCAAGATTTGAATGTTTGGGACTGCCGTCAATTGCCCTGAAACAAACCCAACAGAATCTGTGCCTTTCCCCCTTAACAGCGGCTTGCAAAGGCATGGTGCGATGGTTGTGGTGCTTTGCTAGTTGGGGTCCTTCAACAATCGCGCCGGTACCTTTTCATGTTTAGTGCGCTGCCAGGGTCAGCCGGTTCCATCTCCCACACGAGACCGGGGGTGTTGCATTGTGGTGCCAGGTGCAGGGTTTGCAAGCGTTTGGCCTGTGAGCATTGTGCCACCAATAACCCATGCTTTGCAAGAAGCCTCCTGAGCTTTGTGGTAGAAGGCGCGCTTTGGGCAGAGTTACCACCACACTTGGCCTACAACATTTGAATTGACTGCCAAGTCTGATCTGTCTGATTTGATTTGCTGTGGTGTGGTACCAGTGTGGCACACGCACTACCAAACAGCTTCAATTTTATCATGGCTGGAGCCTCGTTAGCACCGTCAGATACTGGCAGGCTCCAAAGAGATGCCTGCAGCGATACGGGTGCTGTGCATGGATATGGCGTTGATTCATGGTTTAGCATCTGAACACCCGGAAGTTCTGGAATATTCTGCAGAGGCGCGCTGGGATGGGTCAAATGAATCAAATGTCAACCGGGACCTGGTCAACCTGGTGCCACTGGACTTTGATTGAGGAGCTTTGGCGAAATCCGGCTTTTCTTCGTGGATTGGTGAAATTGGCAGATGGCTCTGAGTCTACGAGCTACAGAGTCTGAGATGCACCAGTATGCTGTGAATTGGCCGTCGTTGATCCTTTCGAAAGCAGTTCTTCCATTGAAACCTGAGTTCCAAGGGAAAAAAGTTGCAGAGCGACTGTCTCTTTGCAAGAAGTCGGAGAGGGAAGTGGCAGTCGAAGTCCTTTCTGAGACTCGGCTCCAGTCCAAGTTCACAGTCCTTGGCGCTCAAGGCTGAAGTCGCAGCAACAACCAGGGTAGTTGGGTGACACTGTTTCCATGGCACCCTCCATAGTTTTTTGCGGCTTAAAGCATTGAGGCATGTACGACTGCGGCTTAGTGTTTGAATGTTGCGAGCAGAAGTCACAAGCAGTCTGGGCAGACGCACTTTTTCTCCAGAAAATCCCCTATCTATTATGTCATAGTATATGTTATTAGGTTATATTAGGTTATTAAATTATATTACTGTATATATATATATTCTCATGAATAATTCAGGAGAGTGTCCGTTGCAATGTGTGATTGCCTAACCTTACCTTAGACTGGTAGAGCCGTGGGCCCAGGCAATGGTCCAAGAGGAGCCATCACAGCATGGGCCATTTGTCCGAGCCCCGCAGAAGTGTGAAGTCACAGAAAAGCAATGGAAGTTCGTCGCAGCATGGTACAGCACAGACTACCAACCAGTACCATCAGGTATTATCGGTCTTATCTTTTTTCAGCGCCAGACTTTTCTTTTTGTGAGGATTTGCCACTGACCTTTGCGATCGAGTTGCTGCAGCCACTGGCAGAAGGCAATCCTAAGGCCTTTGCAACGGTGAAGGAGCGTGCTGGGTGAATTCTAGCCTGGTGGTGTGAAAACTCACTACTGAAGAAGGAAGAAGAAGAAGAAGAAAAAGAAGAAGAAGAAGAAGACTGATTTCAAGTTTCTGTAAAAGCAATTAAGATACAATAGCCCTTCCCCTTGTTTCGTTTCATCGCGTGATGGCACAATGATCTTCCTGTAGATTCAAACAGGATTTGAACTCCATAGTTGACATTGACAGGCTGCAATAGTTGCGCGCTCCATGCCATTATGGCTCAAGCATACAGTTAAGATAACCCCGGTCAGACCCGACTTGTCAAAGGCAAGGGTGCCAGGCACGCCATGCAGTGTCTCAAGACTTCTCTTGGCCGGCGCTGCTTCTCCGTGCTGAAAGACAGCTTTCCACAGAGCGGAGCTTTGCCCGGAGCAGATCCCAGCAGGCCCAGTGTATCCAAAGTGATGAAAGACATGCTGCAGAATCAGACTTCAGCAATTCCCACAGGTGGGTCTACTGCAACTCCCACCAAGCACGTCATTGAGTCAGACAATAGATCGATGCCACAGCACTTACCGCGCAGCTACTTACCACCCAGTGCTGGGCCTGCGGCCGTTGACCTCAACCGTGCCGGCGCAGCTTTTCGTGGCCTTGGGCAGCGGGAACAGCGATTTCGGGCGGCGCCACTATCTGGTGCACCCAGCCCACAGCAGTCCATGTGGCGACCACCGGGCTGGAACCAGCCTGCAGAACAGAAGGGAGATGGACGAGACTCGCAGTATGAGAGACCGGCAATCGAAGTCTGGGGTATGAGAGCTGTTGTGCTCTTAGTGATTTTCGCCCTGTACAGAGAGTTCAAAGATGCATCTATCAGCCCGACAGGGCAGATTACCAGAAAACCGCGACCGCAAATACATCCGACGCAGCAAGAGGAGGAGCAACGAAGGCAAGTAGCCAAGTAGCCAAGCTGGCCAGCAGATGGTATTTGGATGTATTTGGTAGTTGCTCTTCAAAGTCTCACCAAGATCTGGGAAGTCCAGGCACATCGGAGTAGAGTACAAGGGCCGATGAGACCAGCCAGTCCACAAAACCATGGTGGGCATGGAGGGGCTCGTCTTCAAAGACACTAAGTCGCCACCGAGCAGCGAAGCTCGTAGAAAAAGGTGCCCATACACAAAATGCTGAAAGAAAAACACATGGAGATATAAGGAGTCAGAATATGATAGTCATCGATTTCGATCAGAAAAAACTCAGAGAGAAGAGAGAGAGAGAGAGAGACACACACACACAATTTTATAATTATGAGATGCAGAGAGGTCGGCATGCATCGCTATAGCAGCAGGAAGAAGTGCAGTGCAAGAAGCTGTTTTGTCCAGGAGTCTTTGAAACATGGAAGCCCGCTTGTGCGCACAGCAGCAGTAAAGGCTGCCGCTGAGTTGGCCACGGGCTCAGAGTTTGTCTCAACGCATGGAGTTGCGGTCGCCAGGAGTCGCTCGTTTTGATGGTTTTTGTTTGATGAGGCACAATTGCGTGGCTTCAAATGCAGCAGCGTGTCTGGACGCAATCTGAAAGGGAGGAGGGTTGAGCCCTGATTTAGGTTCATGTGAATTGGCCCAAAGCGGCTTTTCATCTCAAATCCATGCCGACCGTCAACCTCCCTGATGTATTTTCGTTCGTCATTGCCCAACACTCCAGAATCTTACAATCCTTCTCAACATCCGACATGGTCGTTTCGATGTTTTTTTTCATAAATGTTGCCCGCACCGCTGTAGAGGCTCTGTGCTCTCGCATCCGTGACACCGACGCGGGTGTCCGATGTGCTGCTACGTCCATTCTGCCCACTCTGGAACTGGAGGAATTGAATGTGGAGGGGTGTTCCAAGTTAGCCATGATCCGCCACGGAGCTGTTGACCTTCAGTTGGGAAGGAAAGGTGATGAGTTAGTGAGTGCTGAACTGCAGGAGCGTACCAAGATGGGTGCATGGATGGCTTGCTTGCAGGACTGAAGGGTTGAGCAGAGGGCTCAGGTATGCTCAGGTCATTCATCAAACGACAGTTGGATGCATTCAGCTTGCCGTTTGGCACTGAAACCGTTCCAAAGAAGGGACTTTACAATGGCACGCGCCGATCGTTTGGCCCCTAGAGGAAGGGCAACAACTGCAGGGACATTCCATTTTCAAGTTTGCTTTGTAAATTCATGTAAGTTCCAACGTTGTTCTAGCTGTTGTAGCGGTTGGCAGTTCTTAAGCGTTTCAGATCGTTTCAGCCTTTCAGCCTACACTCGCCTCATTTGAATTTCTTAGTGTCACAATGCGTTGCCATGTCCCAGAGCTGTGCAGCCAGGGCCCGGCTGCGGCAGAAGGAACTGCTTTGCCCAGAGCTGCTGGGAGATGACCAAAGCCGAAGCCGCGACACGGACGAAGCCGAGAAGTCAGAGAAGTCACTGGAGAAGCTCGCCTTGAAGGGATCATGTGTTAAAGATGGCGGTGAGGTGCATGCTATGCTTTTGGTCGCCATGCGGCCAGAACAGAGGCAATTGCTGCCACAAGGCCTCTCCAGCAGTCAGAATGCCAGGTTATTTGCTTTTGTGAGGCGGTTGACAGTCTTGCAAGGCTCCTCATTTTGTTTGCCTCGGCTGTGGTGCGGTGATGCTCAGAGGGCCATGTTGAAGCTTCAAGCGGATCGACGACTGGCTCTGGCCACCGTGGCAAATCGTGGGTTGGCCTTGCAGCATATGCCTCCAGAGCTGCGTGACGACAAGGAGGTGGTGCTTGTGGCTGTGAGGAAAAAAGCTCGAGCCTTGGAGTTTGCAGCTCCACGGCTGCAGGGAGACTTGGAAGTTGTTCTCGAAGCCTTGAAAGCACCTGGAGGCCACAAAGCCCTTCCATTCGTCAGTGAGCACTTGATGTCTGACCACAGGATCGGAGCAGCCAGCCATTCCAAGGAGTTGCTCCAGCTGAAAGATGCACCGGTGCAAGCCGAGACTTTGGACAATTCTCAAGAGGGTCGTCCTGTTCAGAACCCCATTCTGTCTCAGGAGATGCTGTGTTTGCTGCACCTTTGACATCGATGACCCCTCCCCGAATGGATCCGAGCTGTTCCCCAGCCAGCTGTAAGAGATGGACAAGGTTAGGCATCGAAAGATGTTGCAGTTTCGCTGCAGAAGGATGCGTGAGCTCAAAAAAGCCCTGGAGCGCTGGTGATGCTCTCCCATCTCTCCCAGTCATTTGGCAGGCCAAGAAGTAAATTAAGTATAACATAGACCCGGGCAAGCCGGCGGCGGAAGTTTCCCAAACATAAATGACCTATAGTTCAAAGACACCCTGTCCCGACCGTGTCCTTCCCTCGACACTCCACACCTCACACTGCACACTGCACTCTTCGCACTCCAAACTTCTCACTTCTCACTGCTTCCTTCACACTCCAAACCTCACACTTCACACTTCACACTGCACACTTCACACTCCACACTTCTCACTGCTTCCTTCACACTCCAAACTTAACACTTCTCACTCCAAACTTCACACTTCACACTTCTCACTTCTCACTGCTTCCTTCACACTTCACACTGCACACTTCACAGTCCACACTTCTCACTGCTTCCTTCACACTCCAAACTTAACACTTCTCACTCCAAACTTCACACTTCACACTTCTCACTTCCCACTGCTTCCTTCACACTTCACACTTCACACTGCACTCTTTACGCCCCACACTTCACACTGCTCTAAACCTACGTGGAACAAAAAAACACTAATGCGACAAAATGGAGAAAATCTGCGGACAAATCACTGTGGCAGCCTTCATGCAGCCACTCCAATACGATTTACGAAGTCGAGCTGCAAAAGACAATAGTATGACAAATGCAGCCACAGCACGAAGCAACCTTGACGCAGCCATTACAATGCGATCTGCAGAGACTGAGTTGCAAAACACAATAGAACTACGCGCAACGGCGTCAGAAATTGTAGCTCCAAAACCGGATCTCGACGCCAGAGCGAAAAAAAGACGATTTTGAAGCACTTTTTAAAAGGATTTTTAGAAGGAAAATCACTAGCGCCAAAATGGAGAAAATCTGCTGACAAATCACTGTCGCAGCCTTCATGCAGCCACTCCAATACGATTTACGAAGTCCAGCTGCAAAAGACAATAGTATTACGCATGCAGCCACAGCATGAAGCAACCTTCACGCAGCCATTACAATGCGATCTGTGGAGACTGAGTTGCAAAGCACAATAGAACTACGCGCAACGGCGTCGGAAATTGTAGCTCCAAAACCGGGATCTCGACGCCAGAGCGAAAAAAAGACGATTTTGAAGCACTTTTTAAAAGGATTTTTAGAAGGAAAATCACTAGCGCCAAAGTGGAGAAAATCTGCTAACAAATCCATTTCGCAGCCTTCATGCAGCCACTCCAAAACGATTTACGAAGTCCAGCCGCAAAAGACAATAGTATTACGCATACAGCCAAAGCAGGAAGCAACCTTGACGCAGCGACTACAATGCGATCTGCAGCGACTGAGTTGCAAAACACAATAGAACTACGCGCAACGGCGTCGGAATTTGTAGCTTCAAAACCGGATCTTGATGCCAGAGCGAAAAAAAGGCGATTTTGAAGCATTTTTTAAAAGAATTTTTAGAAGGAAAATCACTAGCGCCAAAATGGAGAAAAAAACGCAATTCGTGCGAGACTTCCTTCAAAACTCCATCGGCAACTCATCCACCAGCACCACTTGCAATCCCATTTACATTGCGGGAACGATCCTACAGTTGCAAATCACAATGGAATTCTGTCGACCGCACATGCACGAAAAACACTTGAAACCCCATTTACAATGCGGAACCGATCCGAGAATGATCCGAGCATGATCCGCCCATGATCCGAGCATGATCCGACCACACACGAGACCGTCTCGCAACCGTCGCACCGCAGAGGTAGATCATCGAGGTTCGGGGACGGACTTTGTATGGAAAAACATAGGGTTTCGTGCATCTGCTATCTCTCAAAAACGCATTTCGTGCGAGACTTCCTCCAAAACTCCATCGGCAACTCCTCCACCAGCACCACTTGCAATCCCATTTACAGTGAGGGAACGATCCTAGAGTTGCAAATCACAATGGAATTCCATCGGCAACTCATCCACCAGCAACACTTGCAACCCCATTTACAATGCGGGAACGATCCTACAGTTGCAACTCACAATGGAATTCCATCGGCAACTCATCCCCCAGCACCACTTGCAACCCCATTTACATTGCGGGAACGATCCTACAGTTGCAAATCACAATGGAATTCTGTCGACCGCACATGCACGAAAAACACTTGAAACCCCATTTACAATGCGGAACCGATCCGAGAATGATCCGAGCATGATCCGCCCATGATCCGAGCATGATCCGACCACACACGAGACCGTCTCGCAACCGTCGCACCGCAGAGGTAGATCATCGAGGTTCGGGGACGGACTTTGTATGGAAAAACATAGGGTTTCGTGCATCTGCTATCTCTCAAAAACGCATTTCGTGCGAGACTTCCTTTCCAAAACTCCATCGGCAACTCCTCCACCAGCACCACTTGCAATGCCATTTACAGTGAGGGAACAATTTCTTTGCTAACTCTTTCTGTGACTAACTCTTTTCCTCACCAACTCTTTCTTTGACTACCTTGTTTCTTTGCTAACTCTTTCTTTGACTACCTCATATATCCTGACTAACTCTTTCTTTGACTAACTCTTTCCCTCACTAACTCTTTCTTTGACTGACTCTTTCCCTCACTAACTTTTTCTTTGACTAACTCTTTCCCTGACGAACTCTTTCTTTGCTAACTCTTTCTTTGACTAACTCTTTCCCTCACTAACTCTTTCTTTGACTAACTCTTTCCCTGACTAACTGTTTCTTTGACTAACTCTTTGACTAACTGTTTCTTTGACTAACTCTTTCTAACTCTGACTAACTCTTTCTTTGACTAACTCTTTCCCTCACTAACTCTTTCTTTGACTAACTCTTTCTTTGACTAACTCTTTCTTTGACTAACTCTTTCCCTGACTAACTGTTTCTTTGACTCACTCTTTCTTTGACTAACTCTTTCCCTGACTAACTCTTTCTTTGACTACTCTTTCTTTGACTAACTCTTTCCCTCACTAACTCTTTCTTTGACTAACTCTTTCCCTGACTAACTGTTTCTTTGACTAACTCTTCTTCTGACTAAACTTTTTCCACTAAACTTTTTTTTGACTACTTTTTGTTTGACTAACTGTCTTTTTGCTAACTCTTTCTTTGGCTAACTCTTTCCCTCACTAACTCTTTCTTTGACTAACTCTTTCCCTGACTAACTCTTTCTTTGACTAACTCTTTCCCTGACTAACTGTTTCTTTGAACTCTTTCTTTGACTAACTCTTTCTCACTTGACTAACTCTTTCCCTGACTAACTCTTTCTTTGACTAACTCTTTCTGACTAACTGTTTCTTTGCTAACTAACTCTTTCCCTCACTAACTCTTTCTTTGACTAACTCTTTCCCTGACTAACTCTTTCTTTGACTAACTCTTTCCCTGACTAACTGTTTCTTTGCTAACTCTTTCTTTGACTAACTCTTTCCCTCACTAACTCTTTCTTTGACTAACTCTTTCCCTGACTAACTCTTTCTTTGACCCTCACTAACTCTTTCTTTGACTAACTCTTTCCCTGACTAACTCTTTCTTTGACTAACTCTTTCCCTGACTAACTGCTTCTTTGCTAACTCTTTCTTTGACTAACTCTTTCCCTGACATTCTAAAAGTCCGTAACACGGAAGTTTCTCCCCCTAAACTTCCTTTGATAAATGTACACTAGTAAATAATACAAAACAAAACACTTGAGAGTCATGAAAAGACAATCTAAAATACTCAACTTGATTAACATGCCACCTGGAATCTGAAGCACGAGGGGCTCTTTTGCTCATTTGCAGGACGGTGATGCAACCGTCCGAAAGACTGCCTGCAAAGCTCTTGTCCAGTGTGGTGGCATCGAGGCCAGGTCGTCATCGTGGGTCTCCAATAATTTGCCACAAAGTGCGACCATGGCTTAATATTGCTTATTATGGCTCAACTACATTTAATCTCATTTAATATCATTTAATTAGTTTAAATTTTTATTTACCATCCTTTTCTCCATCAAACTTACAATCATGGTGCACCCCACAGGGTGGTCATTTTACCCAAAATAGGTGGAGGCCAGAAGCCGCTCGGTGATGGTCAACATTTTGCTCGCTTCTTGGCACGAAAGGTTCGCTACCGTTTCCCATGGTTTTCTATCATTCGACAATGTCATGTCTGAATCTTTTTGCTTTGTAGGTGGGTCATTTGGCTCATGCTAGGTATTGCTGGGTTGGGTACTTCATACTATCATACTGTCTCATTCCGCTGGCTACAAGCAGTTGATAAGTGTGACAAGCATAGTTTGACTGGTCGACGCCTCTGACGGGTCTGCTTGAGTGATCTGTGTTGATGTCCTGAGGACAAGGATCAGGAAGTGCGAGCTGAAGCATGGTCAGCCCTGCTGGCCTTCAAGACCACTGCCCTCACTGGAATCTTAGTTTCGCTCGCTCGATCTCGCCTGGACAGTTTCTATGGAAGTGGTGGATTTCAGCGTTTGAAGAACTACTTACTCGTAGCAGTTAATAGCAGCAGAACACCAAGACTTTTGTAAACTTATGTTGCAGGACGATATAACCAGAAAGCGGCTGGTACAAACTCTGCGGGGTTTGTTGACTCTTGGAGACCCCAAGGAGGTTCAAGAGACTTGGCTAAAAAGTGCTGAGATGCTAAAAGCAACCCTCAACTTGAGACAAGAGTGCTTGAGACACGGGTGATTTCGACCTTCCAAACGCCAGTGCGTGTCACGGAAGAGACATGAAGAGACATTTTCTCTTGATCTGACTTGATCTCAGTGCCCTCAACGAGGTTGTTGCTTCCTCCCTTACGGGGGCCAGCTGGTGGCTGCGGCTTGCCATGTGTGAGTCATTCTGCCAACACCTCGACGCCAGCAACGCAGAGGCAAAGCTGTCATGTGTCAGGCTCTCTTCTTCACATAGAGTCTTGGAGAGTTACCAATCAACCAACATAGACCCCGACAATGATTAACTCAAGAGGAATGTAGGCTTTCCATCCCCATTTGGCGGGATCTATGTTAGCTGGATTGATTGTAAGGGCTTTCCATCATGAATCCCACCGTTCTGAAGTTGACCAAAATCGACAGCACGATGGCCTTGCAGCCTTGGACTGGAGGTACGTGCGATTTGTGTTTCGGCCGTGGACACATTGGCCGACCGGACGGACAACAAGGACCGCGGGTCGTTGCCGTCGTTGCCGTCGTTGCCGTTGCCGTTTTTGCCCCATGTGGCCCTGGTGTGCCTCAGGCAGCGGCAGCTGTAGCAGCGAAGCTCCAGGATTCGGATGCCAAAGTGGCGAACGCCGCATGGGCTGCGATCCGAAAACGCCTGGGGGATGCGGATCCAGACGTGAATCGAGTGTGGCTGGAGGAAGTTCATTGTAACCATTTGAACCCATCCGTGCGCGGTGAGGCCGGTCAAGATTGGTGGCTGTAGCAGATCCCCACTGCTTTACAAGTCAAGAAGTTTAAGTGTCATCAAGTGTCCAAAGTCATCCCTCAGAACCGTTTCAGGTCATTGGCGCTGTCCTGAACAACTTGACCGAGCAACTTGCCTCAGCAAGACTCGTATATTCTGAGCAACTTGTGATCTGCATGTGGTGTTGGCCGAGAAGATCAGAAGCATGTGGTGTTTTGAAGAACCAATGGTGACATGTGGCTGCTGAAACGCAGTGCCTGCCAAAATTGTACCTGTCCGTTCAGGACCAGTTGGTTAATTCAAATGGCAGCCACCAGAGCCCTGGAGCTAAAACAACCTGCTGAATCTAGAGAGGCCTGGTTTCAACTCGATTTCAAATTGCCCCATATAGTTTGTGATAGTTTGTGCACCAGCTTTATCAAAGAGCCTGCAGGTTGGAGATCCATGACGTGCACGAATTTTCGGGTGCTACTAGCAACTAGTAACTTAGTAGTATGACAGCATGACCTAAGGAGTGTCACTGGGGGTCATGGCCAAAAACTGCAACTGGCAGGTGTTGGAAATCTTGATGAAATTCAAGGAGGACGATGACCCAGCGGTTCAGCAGATTGCAGAGGATGTGCTTGAGCACTTTCTGCTACTGGGCCGTGAATCTGCGGAAGGCATAGACCTGGAGCCGGATTCGATCTGTAAATCTCTGTCAAGCACCAGTTTCTGAAAAAGGGTCCAAAGGTTGACCAATGGCCAGGGAACAACAAGACCAGGCCCATGCGCTTCAAAGACTTAATTTATTGTGTTTTACGACAGCCGCAAAAATGCTGCTGCCAAGAAGCATCATTCGGCCAACTGCGCCTCGTTCCAGCAGAAAACGGTCGCGAAGCAGCAAGCAAGTGGAAACCATTCACAGATCCCCACACATATCACACATCAACGCTGAAGTGTGAAGTGACCCCCTTTGGGCCGGGGTGAAAAGTACTGACGTCCAGAATTTGCAATCTCGCTAGGCGCATGACTCGGGCATCCCTCTGAGGGAATTGCTTGACCTGCAGCTTGCGTCAAAAAGTAGTGGTTGGATCTGCTGGAAAATTGGCAAAAATGCGAAACGAGTAAAGAACAAGAGCAGTGACAACTTGGCCAGCTTTGACTAGCCTGCTTGGGAGATCTTTGATGTGGACAGACTCTCGGACAGACCGCATTGCAATTGCACTCCGAATGCCGTTTAGGCTTTGTTGGGTATAGAGTTTTCTTAGAGGTGTTTCCTAGGCTTGAGGGCCATTGGAAGGCGCCAACATAACTTCAGGGCATTTCGGACATTGCGTGAGCTGGAAACTGACTTCAGAAATCGGCACCTGTGATCATAGAATCATACGTATTGTAGGCACAATGAAGCGGCAGCTCAATCGAGCTTCTACGCTTCCAGTCTCTTGGTTTGAACAAGGCTATGACTGGCCCCAGGGAAGGGAAAGCAAGAAGCTGGCGTTTCATTTCCAGGAAGTTCTGACAACTTCGGGCAATATTGCATAAGCATGCATAAGCGCAGGTTTGTTGAGGCAGACTGCAGGGTATCCCTTGATCACCGTAGCCAGCTATTTGAGGGGTCGCTTCTGACCCGAGGCCAACAAGATCGTCCCGGCGGTGGCGAAACGACCACCGCAGCGCTCCACCACCCAGGCCATGTGCCGGAAACGGCTGGGCAAAGATCAGCACGGCTGACCGCAATAAAGGTCGCAACATGCCTCATGAAGAAACGGCAGTGATCAGAAGTTGAGGCCTAAAACTGCACGAGATGCACGAGTTATACCAGTTCAGTAGCTGTGCCAGGCGAATATGGACCCAGTGAGCGAGAATGGACAGGCAGGGGGCTCACTGCTTCAAAGCTTCACCGGCTCGCGGTGATGGGCCAGTAACAGGGTTCGGCGTGCTTGAATCCCATTTAGATGTATCATGATATAACATGATATAACTATACAGCAACAATATCACTGTATGGCCCTACCTATGGATATATAAGATATATACCTATACGCACAAGTGTAAATAATTGTACACATTGTACACATATATTATAGCTGAAACCCTGGTTGAAGGCTATTGCAAACCGAGTCTTTTTTTTATTCTCCCATTTTGTAATCAATAGAACTTGTAGGTAACCGAATCCATTCCTGCCATAAGGCCGCCTCAGCGACTGCCTCGGTGGTGGTTGTAGCAAGAATTCGGCCCAAGTTGCCAAAGGAAGACAAGGAACCTGATGGTGGAGAACTTAGAGAACTTGGACTGAAGATGTTGTTTCTGATTTTGAGCGTTCTTGACACTTGGGATCGTCCAGGTCACTTGAACTTACTTGAATTTACTTGGTATCGCAGGGTGGAGAGAAAATCGTGGACAAGCGTAGAAGTAACGTACTTGTAGTGCCTGTGGTGTAAGGCGTGGAGGTTTACTCAGATGCGCAGACTTTGTCAATCTACAACAATGGGTGCTGCCCTCGGCATCTTAGATTCCGGGACTCCCTGACAAGAGACGTTCAAAACCGTCACAGGTGTTGGTTTGTGTCTTCCCAAGGCGAGAGAAGAAGCAGTACACCTTGGACCAAGTTTTTGACTCGCGCTGGAGGATGCAGGTGAGTGATGGTGAGTGACAGAGAACGGGCCACAGCAGAATCGATGGAGGAATGCAGACTACGTCCCAACTACCTGAATAAGATTGAATAAGTCAATTGGAGAAGTAGTGAGGTACGTAGATGGATGGATGAATAGATAGATATAATTACAATTTAATTACATGCATTTGTGTGTGTATATATATATATGTATTATACATTGCAATTGATGTAATAAAGGATGACAAGTCAGTAAGCCACGACAACCAGGGTGCTGTGGGGGGCCACCATGATCTCACCCTCATCCTACTCATCCTACTCCGCCTTGCCAGACGGCACGATCTGCACGGTCCAATGAGAGCGTGGAGAAGAGTCCTCGGCCTTCTGCTGCTGAGTTGAGCCCTCAAAGCTGCAGAAGCAAACTGGAACTGACCTGCGATTCGCAACGATAGCCGGGGGAGCTGTGCAATTTCATGCAATTTCCTTGCTAAGGCAGCGCAAGTCCGAAGCTGCGGAATCCCAGGCACAGCCGATGGGCACAGCAGAAGATTGTGATTTGACCGATTGACTTGTGTCTAGATCGCTGGCGCAAACCCTGAGGCAAAGTTCTTCAATGATTTCGGACGCAATCTGGTCACTCACTCACTGCCTGGTTCTTGGATATTGATCATTGCAGCAGCTGCACTTGGCTTCACTTGTTGGCTGGGCTGGCCGTGAGTAGTCGCAAGGGATCTTTGCGCCGAGGAAAGGCTACAACGTATGTGTCTTCGCCTATGGGCACACTGGCTCCGGAAAGTCCCGACCACAGTGGTGGGAAGCTTCTGAAGGTTCTGAAGCTGTTGGGAAGGGTCCGTTGATGTCTTTTGATGTATTTGGCCGTCGGTTCTGCTGGTCTTTGAACAGCTTCCTACCTGAGGACCTACACCATGCTGGGTGATGCTGCAGGCTCTGGTCGTGGAGCTGCTGCAGGGTTTTAACCTTAGATCAATGATGAAACTGGATGAAACTGGCGGTTTGCACATCATAGCCCCAGTGGCTTTGAACGATTCTGATGGTTCCACTTGCCAGATGCAGCAGAGTGACCTAAACAAGGTTGCTGCCTCGTTTCCTCATCGAACTCTTTCAGGAGCATGAGGATGCGTGCTGCCCTCATGGGACTGGCAATTTTCAGCCAGTTTTAGTTGTCAGATCATGATAGATCATGATGGATCCAATTAACATCACTTACCATAACTTAACCAAATGTTCACTATAACTGATAACTAGACTATAACTATATATAACTATAACCAGGGCCAGGGCTATCTGTGCTTCATCCTCTATAACTGGTTAAGTGGGGCCCACTCGGAGCCGCAGATCCCCAAGGCCACGTCCAGATACCTGGCGCTGCAGCTGCGAGTTCTTTGAGGCGGGCCTCCGACTCTCGCTTCGCCTGGTCACGGACGAGCGGGATGCAGATGGTCATTGATTCACGATGTCACGGATTTCATTCAATGAATGAGTTATAGATAAACAAAATCAACACATGAATAGATAAATAGATTGATAAACAAAATTAAACAAATAGATAAACATATTTCCGTCCTCCCCTGTCTCTGACATTCGATGGATTGGCATTTGGAATCAGAGTTACTGTGGATGGCTGGATTCACCCACTGAAAGTGGCAATTGGCAATGCACCGTGGCACTGAAACTTGACCTGAATTGAAGAGCAAGAAGCCTTCGCAGCCTCATTTGACAGAAACGAGCCAATAACGGAAACATTCGGCTGACACTCTCTTTTTCCCCCTCTCCCGTTGCAATATATTATATATATACTGTATATATATATATATTGCATGCCGCAGGTCTACAATGAGCAAATCAGAGATTTGCTGCAGCCAAATGTGAGGGTCTTAAGAAAATGCAGTCTTTCTAACAAGACTCCAAGTGATTTTGATTGATTTTGGTGTTTCCCCGTGGGCTCCCCTAAGGCCCAAGTGCAGAAACCCAAGAGAGTGCATTGCCTGAAGCCCAGCCAACTGATACCGATCTCCAGCGCGGTAGCGTTGGAGCTACCTGAGGCCACCCAAAGCATGGTGCTCGCATTGAAGGTTTGACCATGCTGGGAACCAAGTCACAGAAGTTATGGTTTTTGGATGTTTTTGGATGTTTTTGTTCATCAGATTTCACAGAATCAAATCGGCTGAATTGTCATTGACTGATCGGAATGACAACATTCAGAGGCGCACCCAAAACTCCAATCGGTTTTGCTGTTTGAGTGACTGTTGCCAGGGGGTTGCGAGTGAGGTCCGTGGTAAGCTCTGCCGAAGAAGTCATGGAGCTGCTGCATTTCGGGAACCAGATGCGTACTGTTGCAGCACCTTGGAATTCAAAGAGAGTTGGAGCACCCCCTTGAAAACACGGGCAATCATATCATAGTTGTATTGCATATGTGACACACACGCACAGAATCACATATTATACAGTGTACATAATTATACAATTGAACCGATAATTGGATTTTAATTGATATCCCTATTGAATTGATATCCCTATTGATATCCCTATCATTATAGACCTTTAATTAATAGGATAATTATACAATATAATTATAGAGATTTGATATGACCTTTGAATCACCCTATTGATCCTATTGGAGCTATGGGGATCCCTGTGCGCAGCCTCGAGGCTACGACCATGTTGGAGCCCCAGTGGCGTCGTTTCTTGATTCGCTCAGCGATTTTGATGGTTCAACTGGTAATCCAATCAGACTCCCATCAGGGTACCTGCCTTCAATGATGATCAGCAACGCACTTGCGCCTGCAGGAATTCTCGCTCTTCTCGAAGCCATGCATTCTTCAACTTCAAGCTGGGGACCAAGTCTTGTTTGCACAGAAGCTATTTTATGTTTTTCTTTTGCTGAAAGGTTTGCAGGCCACATGGTGCCTTGCTTCTCTGAGGTATGAGCAGATTGGCGAAGAGCCTGATCAAGCACCAGGCTTTGGGATAGCACAGGGAAGATACCCCGTACACAGAGAACATCATGCCATGATGCCATTTCACTTATATAATCAATGGGAATTTCAGGATCCTAAAATGGAGGTACTGTACCATATAAGGCCATATTTTCTGGGGATATTCCCTTACATAGGCCTTATATATGGTAGGTACCTCCAATCTAGGATCCTGAAATGGCCATTGACTTAATCTTCACATTTGTCATCGTAAAAAAGGGCACCAGCAGAGAGCAGTGAAGTGCTTCTGAAGCGACATTCAACAACTGGGCAATGCTCCTGACGAAAGTGTTGCAGTCACCGATGCTGACTCGTTATTTCAGGTTGCTGGTTTCAATCATTCTCTCTATATTGAGATGATCCCCTAAGAGCTACATCATCATCATCATCATCATCATCATCATCATCACCATCACCATCACCATCACCATCAGCATCAACATCAGCAGTCAGCATCAGCATCCGCATCCGCATCAGCATCCGCATCAGCATCAGCATCATCATCATCATCATCATCATCATCATCACCACCACCAGCATCATCATCATCATCATCATCATCTTCATCTTCATCTTCACCTTCATCTATTGTCAAGGTCGGTTGGAACATGTTGAAACCAGCAACAGGTTTCAACAGCTGTTTCAATATCAGTTTCAATGTCGCCAGGACCACCTCCCCCACCTCAAGCACGAGGAAAGGAGCGCCGCGTGACCATTGCAGCTCCTCCCGATACCAGCGGAGGCGGCTCTTGCATGAGCCAGCGGCCTCAGAAGAATCACCGGGAGTTTGGACGGGAAACTGACGGGAGACCATGGCTTTTTTTTGGTTCCTGCGCAGCTTCCCTTCGAGAAATTCTGGGATAAGAGGAGCAGGTTGGAAGTGAATCGTCAAAATTCTGCCCTCAATTTGGCTCAGCTGATAGCCCACAAACTTGGCACTGTTACAAAGCCCAATTGCTCCCTAAGGTGCAGTAACTTTTGTGGACCTGGCCGGTCGCGAAGAACGTGAACGGTTGGGGAACCACCCTGGGGCTTTGCAGTGAAGCTCTCAGAAACTTGGAGATGCCAACATCAGCTGGTCATATTATTTGCCTCAATATCCTCCACATTGCTCCAGTTTTGCCCCCTTGTCCCTCGAAGGTACAAGGAGATGTGCTTCATCAACACTTCCCTGTTCCACTTGGCTCATCTGATCACAAAGATCTCCCAAGGCCAGGAGAACCTGGCCCTGCAAAAAATGCGTCAAACCGCACAGGTTTGTGAAAATTTGCTTCTCTTTGTCTTTGTCTTTATTGAACTCCTTTTTGAGGCGGACTTTCCAGCAACAACCTCTCAGACTTCAGGAACTCCAAGGCTTCGTCAAGGGTCCAGTTGCCCCAGTGCATCCAGTTCCCCTTACTCTTCAGCTTCAGCTGGCTTCATTGCACGCACCGGAACCATTGGGAGGTTTCAATATTCAATAATGTTTATTTCCCTGACAGGTGACGATGCTTCTTTCACAAGCCTTGCAAGGCAATTCACGGACAGCCGTAGTGGCTACGCGGCAACCTCAGTTCAGGACTACTGCTCATCACCCGAGCAACAATGTTTAGACAATCTCTACAGGAGTTGTGTCGAGATACCTTGACGCTGAGTTGTGCTGAGGCTTTCTCCGTGCCAATCAGCCTTTGAGGACTCAATGTTTGGCCGGCATATTTCCCTGCACGTTTAGTCAATCCATGCTCATTTGCTGGTTGGACCTTTGACAGATGTACTTTGAATGCTTGAATGCTTCACGTATGGCAGGTCGACTCTGCATCGCGGCTGCAACTAGCACCAAAGCTTTGAGTGCCAACAATGGCTAGATTTGCCAGACAGATATATCACTGGTCACTAGCAGTTCTTTCGTTTTCCTTCACTTGGCTTGGTATGTGCTGCCGTTTTGTTGCATGCTTCTACCTTGCAAGGAATTTCGCGGCATCAGCCAAGAAGATCCAGACCAAGCCAGTGAAAACCTCAAAGCGGTCTAATGCTGGCTTGGTACAATTGTAAGAGTGCTCAAGCACTCCACGAAAAAAGAGGCACACTGACGGTCATGTCAAATTTGCGCCTGCAGATTGTGAATTCGAAATCGGCTGTGGAGAAATTGGCGGAGCTGGAGAATGAAGCAACTTGGCATAGCTTGGCGGAAGTTTTTGTAAGCTTTCCCTGTCAGAGACCATGGCGTGGACCAACTGCCGGTAACGTAGGTGCACAGTCTGCAAGTTGAGCTGGCACAGAGCAAGACCAGCAACACAGAGAAGGCACACCGCGTCATCAAGTCATCTTTGTTTTCTTGCGGGGGTAGTGGCTACACTGACTATGTGGGCATGTCAGGAGCAAGAGCTTTTGTCAGCGCAAGCCTGGATCAACTACTACAAGCGGTCCTGGGAAGAGGCCAGATCTTGGCTCCAGAGCATGTCAATGGTGGAATGAAGTGGACTGAAACAAATACCCCTTCGGCTTGTTTCAGGCGTGCGCACGCTCCGAGCAGACCCAAAAAGCAAGGACAATGTAATTGCACGTTCTGCTTTCATGACATTATTGCACCCACAAAAACAGATCATACATGTATCACGCACACACACAGATAGATGGATGGATGGATGGATGGATGGATGGATGGATGGATGGATAGATGGATATATAGATGGATAGATGGATGGATATAGATAGATGGATAGATGGATGGATGGATGGATAGATAGATAAGATAAGATAAGATAAGATAACATACGATTGGCTTGGATTGGATTAGATGGATAGATAATTACATATATAGACCTACTGCATACATTACATTACATTACATTACATTACATTACATTACATTACATTACATTACATTACATACATATCTATAAATCTATATCCGGATCTATGTCATCTATATCTAAATCCCTGTATAAATGTCAGGCGTTGGGACAGCATGGGCCGCAGGACACGCAGTGCAAAGCGCTTAGGACTGACGCAAAGTGGCAGGTCCTGGCCCTGGCACCTCCAACTCTTCCTATCACTTTGCTATGCTGATCTATGATGTTATGCTTTGCTGTGCTCAGCTTTGCTAATCTTGTTTAAACAAAAACCTTTGATGTTATCTGCGGCCTACTGGTTGTTTGTTCGCAGGGTTTCGGCTCCATAGCAATACATCAAGACATGTCGACAATCTTTCAATTCTTGCGAGTTTCTTTCAGGCATGACCCGGATATCTCCGCAGCCTCTGAATAGTGAGCATCAACCTGTATAATCGTCATGCTTCAACATGTGGCTTGTCGATCCGACATCATATCAGCCTCACTCAACAAAAGCACCCACCTTGAACCTCTCACCTTGCAGCTTACATTTCCCCCTGACCCACCACTGTGTTACGCTTTGGTCTTGGAGTCTTTGACTCTTTGACTCAGCGGAAATGTCCAGAGGTGTTTTGCTTGAATTGAGTTACAGACCTGAGAAGACCAGGTTTTTGAACGCAGGAAGGCGGAACACATATGTTGGAAGTGGACGGTGATGATTTGAGTTTGGTCAGCTCCAACGCCATGCATAATTCGGTGGAAAAACCCTCGCTAGTCTGGCCAAGTGCAAGACACTGTGGTCTAGTAATGAAGCTTCCAAAACATTCCTAGATTTTCATCAGTCGCCAAGGCCAACTATGTTTGGCTTTGCTGGCGAATGTGCTGACTTTGCAGGCGGAAGAGTATTTCAAGTTTTGGGATGTGCAAGTTGCAAGCAGCAATTTTTCATCATTTTCTTTGTTGGAACTTTGAAAGCGGGCTGTTCCTGTAGGCCTCAGCTGCATACGCTCCCTCACCGGGGTTCATGGGCCCAGATGAATCATCAGGCCGAGGACAAAGTAGCGGTGCTGCTTTGCGATAGCTTCATGACATGTCTTTGGTTGAAGATTTCCGGCACCTTGTCTCAGGCGTCGATGTTACTCAGCTGCATTGGCCAGCCGGACCTGGTTTTGAATGTCATGGGGATGCTGCGGCCCTTGGAGTTGAGGCTCCATGGATGATGGAGCCACGCAAAAAGAGGAGGAAGAAGGAGGATGACCGAAGTGTGATGGAGGTGGGCACCAGTTGAGGTGAACAGCTGGGAAGTGTTCAACCAAGGCTTCAAATCTAAACTGATGCAGGGATTGATTTCTCAAGGTTCATCGTTCATCAAACTGGAGTCAGGTGCTGAAGCAGCTGTGGGGAACAGCCGAGTGGCCACCCAGGGGCAAAGGACCCAACCCGGCCCAGGATGACCTACAAACCACGACAGGCCAGGTTTCAGGCTGACACTACGTATCACTACGTTTTTCCAGAGTGGTTTCATCCTATTTTCACACCTGACCCTGGTGCAGAAGTTTATAGATTTTATAGACAACTCATTCAAAACGTGTCAAAGTGACACTACATTTTGTTTTCTTGTTACTGGTGTTACTGCACAGTCCCTTTGAGTCTTCGGATCAGTTTATCAACTGTTTCTCCAGGGATGCGCTTTGGGATGAGCTTAGTGGCCTTCACCATTTGCTTCGGAGTGGGCTTTGCAGTGACCATGGGTACTTCTGCACGTGACAGTCGGTCCAAGTTTCCAATGCATTTTCAGGCACCCGCGCAGAGTGTAGCATTGTAGCACGCAGTCTCATGTGAGATACCTAGATAAGTTATATATATATATATATTATATTATTGTCATCTAAGTGCACGTAAGATTGGTGCTCAAAGGCACACTGAGTTTCGAGTCGTTGCTGGGCAATGCCGCTCGATTCTGTATTTAGCTTCGGAATGTGTTTTACAGATCCTCCCCCTAGTTTTACTTTGGCAACTGCAAGCACCCGGTTCCATGAAGGCACTTGTTGGAGCAATTTGTTGGCGTCACACTCACCAACGCACCCCCGCTGCATCAGCAGGGAAGGAGGGGTTGACGTGAAGGCATAGATTGACGTGCATGCATGTATGTACACACACACATAATATATATATATATACACACTATAGGTGAACAATATGGACATCATATTTCTTGTTTACTTTTTTTTTGGCCTCCCAGGTGCCATTTTCATGCACATGATCCGCGTTGCCATTCCTACGTTGATTTTGCTCGGCCTCAGCAGGCACGATGATCCCGATGTTTGTACAGTGGCATTTACTGAAATGAATGCTACAGTGCTACAGTTTCATTCACAATGTTTTCATCTTTTTGTAGAAAGTGCTGAGATGAGACATGTATTTCTATGTATTTCTAGCATTGCGTCCTTGCTTTGAGACTTGCAGGATGCAGGCATGGCTTCTCAGGCAAGTTGGGCGCGACGAGTCCCAGACTCTTCTGGAGTCGATCTTTGACGGCAACTTTTTGACACAGACATGTGTCAATCTCTAGCTGTGCTGTGCATGCTGTGCTTTGAACATCTTTGAAAGCTGTAGCAAACTAGGTTCGATTTGATACTAAGAAGTGCTTGGAATTTATATATATATATATGTAGCCCACGAACAGCTAAGAACTGGAATGTCGCCAAACCGCATTGTCGATGGCATCGTGGTCACGAACTGAGACAGCAAAGTCACATGGCCTATCATGGCCTCGGGCAAGGCTAAGTATGTCTAACAGCGCAGCGGCTGTGAATGCATTTGTATGGTTTGAAAGGCTTTGAAGATCTTGAAAGATATTCCAAATATTCACAATTGTCAAGCAGCACCAATGGCGCGGGCAAGGGATACTTCTTGACCTTGGCCATGGTGTACGTGGACTTGACCTTAGGCGATGTTGAGAGGTTGAGAGGTTGAGAGGTGTTGATGAGTTGCGTCACCTGTTGCAGTCTGTTGCAGTCTGCCCTGTTGCGCTGCTCGGCTCGAGCGATTTCCAGGTCATGGTTTCCATGCTCTTTTTCGTTTGGCATCTTGGCATCAATCGGCATCAATCGGCATCAATCGGCATCAATCGGCATCAATCGGCATCAATCGGCATCAATCGGCATCAATCGGCATCAAGGCCTCAAAGATACGACATACGACTGCCATGTACACTGTACACTGGTACATTACTCGTACATATCATAGTACATATCATATCAATCTCATATTGTATCCATTTCCATTTCTACCGAATTTCTACCCTTAAGATATTTCAAGATTCCTCAACTCACTCAAATCCTTGACCTTAGAACGCTGAAGCATGTGAAGCCAATCCACAGGCACGTGGCTGCTGAGAAGCAGTCCGGATTTCGACACCTTCTCCATGTCAGCGGCTTGTCCCGCTCTGCGTAGCTTGGCAGAATGTGATTGCATGTTGAGGGATATTTTCTGCGCATTTACGTAGGTTCAAAGTGGTTTCTTGCTTTGGTGGTTGTTTTTTAAATGATGCATTGCCTTTGCTGCTGGATGTTTCGGGCAAGTGATGAACTGCAGCCGATTGCTCAAAGAAGCACAGCTACAGAGAGGCCAACTTCAACATACTGCATTTAGTTAGTTCCGTGAAGAAATCCCTTGGCAATGTTGGCCAAAAGCTTCTTGTACGGATGCATCGGCGTCTGGAGCTCATTTGAAATGCTTGAAGTGCTTGCGGTCCAATCATTAATTCAACACAATCCAACCTAAGTTCTGCACTGTGGCGAAGTTGGTGAGAAGTCTTGAACTGTGGCTTTTTGGCCTTCATGAGGCCGGGATCTTGGCGACAGCTCTGGCCATCTTCATCGACAAGTCTGCCGCTCTCATGATTAAGGGCTTGGCCACCAGCTCAGAACAGCTCAGAACACCCACATCGACCATCTAAGACCTTCACATTGGCCTTCACATGACCGGAGCCTGCTGTGACAGCTGTGGTTCTTTCAATGTGACTCTGTCGGCTTGGGAAGCTTGGCTTGGGCTTCTTGCAGGTTTCAACCACATCATCTGACAGCTTGAGCAGGTTGCAGCGGACATACCTTGCAGCTGCTTGACACTATTCAGCACTGCTGTGAGAAGGGATCCATATGGTCGGTTGGCACATGCTGCAAAGAGGCAGATCCTTGATTTGAGGCCTACCTCTGTGCAATGATGGCAGATTGGCTGCAAGGGCCATTTGTGTATGCACTCTATGCATCCTACGGTTGCTTGCCTGGAATCCCTGGTGTGTTTCAGGCGATTGGCTGTGCCACAAGTTGGTGCGTGGGGCTTCCTGGCACCATGGGTTTTCCATGTGAACAGTCTAAGGATTCACGCGGGAGGAGAATGCAACTCTTTTCGTGGCTGGATTCGGCAGCAGCGCAGTCTTTGGCACTTTCGTTGGGTCGCTGGCTGACAAATATGGCCGCCGGAATTTTGCCGCCGCTTGGCATGCAGCCAGTTTGTTCCATTACAGCAGAGTTTCACTGGAGGCAACCCTGAAATTGATGATTCCAGCTAGTGCTCTGCTGCTCAGGGGCTGTACTGCCTGCTTTACCTACTGCAGCAACCTTAGAATTACCGGTTGTGCAGTGCTTCAACTGTGTTGGCCCTTTGTCCTTGAACTTCTTGAAATGCTTCAGCTCTTCTGTCTTCGTGATTGTGAGGTCCTGTCTCACCAAGCACTTCAAGGCTTACTGGATGCTGATGATAGGGCGCATCACGGGAGGTATTGCCACATCGCTTCTTTTCAGTGTGTTGCTTGGACATTTTGGTCGCTGTCCCCGAATTCAACTTATCCTCGTATTCCGGGAGTTTTTGGCATAGTTTCTGTGTTAGTGTAGAAGTCTACATGCCAGTAATTATCGACTGCAGTTTGAGGATCCCCCCAAATACGAGCACAATTACTTCCACTGAAAGATAATCTTAAGCAGAAAGACAAGGGTAAATATGACAAAGGGAGTTATACATACCCAAAAGCACATTGCAAACCCGTGTTTGCCTAAGCGCGCAGTCCTTTGAATCTGGCTCTATGGGCGACTTAACTTCATGATGGTGTCGAGCGATGATTTAAGCTGGTGTGCCCTCGGGCCTCTCATAAATGCAGCCCCGCCATTGGCCGACCTAGTGGGAACCCACCAAAGCAGGACGTAGTGGCATTGCCGGAAACTATGCCCACTCCAACATACAATCAAAGCTTGATGATCAATCCTAGAACTAAGCTGTTAACCCTTACTGGTATTCTTTTACGCGCTACTAGCTCTACTAGTCATCCGTGCATTGAGACCGGATGATACCGGCGTCTCCGCAATGGCAACTGTTGAGTGCTGCCTGGATGTGCTGTAGCTGAGAGCAGAGTCTTTGGACTCCGGGAACGACCAATGTCAGTTGAGCCAAGTTACATGTCCGAGCCCAAAGTGGTGAGCTTCCTGAAGTTGCAAGGAGAGCATGATCTAGGCGCTGAGAAACGGCCAGGTGCTCCTGGTATCACAGGATTTGATTTTCAACGTCTCTTCGCAACGTCTGCCAGCCGGGCAGACCCTCCAATGGCCCCGACACCTCCGACTCCGCCGCTTCCAGGGCTGGAAATTGGGTTTCTGCTGGGTCAGAGGAAGGTGAAGAACGAGAAGAACGAGAAGAACCTGGATCCAACTCATCCAGCTCCAAACTGCACGGATGATGCATTTGAAGCATCCAAGGGTCACCTGCCACCGGCACGAATCAACGCAGCATATGCTGCTTTGCTTGAAGCTGTCAGGGAACAGAACGACTTCAAAGTTCAGGAAGTACTGCAGCTTGTAGGATCCAAAGTCCTTGAGCGAAAGGATGGGGATGGCAACACTGTTCTACACCTTGCTGCCAAAATTTCGGCCAGTGAAACCAGCACTTCCATTTTATCCTACTTGCAGCACTGCAGGGCGGACTTGGAGGCCCGAAATGTTCTGGGAGAAACACCTTTGATTCTGGCGGTACGTGAGGCGCTGGATGGGAAAGAGCCTGCAAAACCTGGGGAGCCCGACCCTGGGTGGCTCGGAGCTGTTTCCTGCCTTTTGGAGGGTCGTGCCGATCCGAACGGTGCGGATGAGCTCAACGAGGAAACACCCTTGATGGAAGCTGCCTGCTACGGCAGCTGTGAAATGTGTCAACTCCTGCTGGACTTTCAGGCAGATGTGTTGATGAAAACAGCCAGTGGTGGTACAGCGATGGACTTCGCAAGCAGTGAGGGTCATGATCCATTGGTAAAACTGCTCCGCAGGGAGTTAACTGCCAGAGAAGCGAGGGAAGCGAGGGAAGCATCGGCTTCACAAGGCACGAGTTCAGGGAATTTTCAAGGGGGGCAAGCGCCCTTCGCAACAGCCATCGGCTTCAACACATGGTCTGGGGGACTAGCTGAAAGATGGTCTCAGCCACCGCAGGCTCCAACCCCAGACGATGCCAGGGAAGAGAAACGAAAGGAGAGCTCTTCACAGTCCAATGATTCCTATGACTTCAAACCGGGTCTGCTTTTTGGTTCTCAAGCATCTTCCTTCAATGTCCACTCGCACTTTATGGCAGATGGCGGGTACCGAAGTCACAAAGAAAGCCATTTCCCTTTCGCTGAGAGGTCTGGCCGGCAGCAAAAAGCGCACAAGGCTGCCAATCAAGACCAGCATTTCCGGACTTTGGGTCTCTCTCCGCAAGCCTGTGCAGAAGAAATCCGTGCAGCCTACCGAAAATTGGCAAGACAGTACCATCCAGACAAGAACCAGGGTAGCAAAGAAGCTGCTGAAAAGTTCCGTCAGGTGAGGCGAGCCTACGAGCAACTCTCCACCAGCTTCTAACAGGTGGGGAGGACTGGGACAATGCCAGTCAGTCACCCAATTGTTCTTCCAGACAGGCTTTGAGACATGGGCCAAGCTGCTTCCAAGAAAACCTTGTGATCAGCGGCCGGGAGAACCAAAGGTGCGAATCGAAAAGAGTGGTGGCATGGCCTGTGTCGCAATTGGAATATATTTGAGTCGATGCTTTCCCCAGGTAGGTGTTGGAACATTTTCAAAGACCATTTGTTCCACATCTGTTTATACATGTTTATACCTTTATAAATCCTCTATTTTGTTATGTATATGTATATATATAAATATATAAAATTATATATAATATATATATACATGTATATATATATAGCCTATATATTGTTACGTTTTTTTGGGCACACCTCCGGACGTTCCAAGGAACCTCCTCCCCAGCGTCCTGAGCGGAGCCAAGGTTTGATTCATGGCTGGTGTCTGAACACACCGCTCGGGGTTTCCATGGGGATCAGCCTCTCAGCTTGAGAACAGACCGATTGGGACCTGATTGGGACTCACAATAGCTGGATAGCTATTGATAGCTTGAGAACTTGGGAAGTTCTGAAATGACCCTGTGATGCCAGGTGCTGTACACCATGAATTTCACATATATAGTTCACAGATTTTCACAGTATACATTTGCTGGTGTTTGGATGGGAGATGCTGGGAGATGCTGGGAGATGCTGGGAGATGCTGTGAGATTATGCGAGGCTGAGTGCTTCCTTCTCCATTGCCTTCTTCGGAAACAGCCTGGTCGCCATCTTGGCAGGGGAGCTTGGGCAATACACCGCAGACATCTTGCCGCTGACGCAGCTGTCGGGCAGCCTCTTGGCGCTGGAGATTCATGGCGGTTTCTCTGTATGATCCCTGTTTTGGTTGGTTATATCTCTATGTGTGCTGGTTTCGAAATTATATGACATTATATGACATTGTATGAAATTCATTTATACATAATGGTAATTATCAACTATTGAGTAAATTCACCACCGATGGTGACTTTCCGATGGAATGTTGACACACCTCGGCAACTGCAGTTTTTCAGCAATCCTGTGATGTGGCTGATGACATCTGATGACAAAGGCTTTCACTATGGAGGCTATACCGCGCCGTTTGTGACCGCCAATATGTTTCTGGCACCGACCTCGTTGGTGACATTCGACAGCCTGCCGAATAGCGATGGCTTCGTCGGCCCAGGTCTTTTGCTTTTCCCTGTTGACATCGACTTGGTCTGAAAACTATGGGCAAAGCTCAAAGGACACAGCGGCGTCGCTGAATAGTGCTAGACTGCTAGACATTTTAGTGCCAAAATGAGGACGTTGATGGCAAGAATGATGGCCTTTTGGAGGCAGCACAGCTGACTCTTGTCTTAACTAGTCAATTAATTCGTGATCCAGATGTTCCATCGTTTTCTGTATCTATGTGATGTTTTTCATGTCCAGGTATATATAACACACACACACAAATATAACATTTAATCTTTGGTCTGTGTGTGTGTATTCACACTATTTCTTGTAGATATGTCACTGGCATAGGAGTTTGGCAGGTGAGGCGGTGCAGCACCTTTTCAGTTTCACCAGCTGAACGCCCAAGGGTCGTTGCGCAGCCCCTGGTTGGTCTTTGCGGCCTTGTGTGCTCCTTGGCTGCCCCCAAAGACCTTCCGTGGGAGAGAAGAATCTGGGCAGTGGATTTTGGAATGATGATGATGATGATGGTGATGATGATGATGATGATGATCATGATGATGATGATGATGATGAGGATGAGGATGAGGATGAGGATGAGGATGAGGGTGATGATGATTATGGTGGTGGTGATGATGATGGTGGTGATGATGATGGTGATGATCATGAGGTGGTGACGATGATGGTGGTGGTGATGGTGATGGTGAAGATGTGCCGACACTGTGCCAATTCAGAAGCGGAATGCAACGGAACTACAATCGAGACTATATAACAGGAACTGCAGAATCAAGGAGACTCTGCAGCACAAAAAGATGCAAAAGGCACTGTGGTTTTTGCGACTATCTGATCCCAGTTGTAACGCGCAGAGAAGCTGAGGTTGTCTCTTTGAATCATCCATGTTCATCTTCGTCTTCAATTGGACACCCGTTCTGACGGAGGAGATGATTCCTGCATTTTTGCTTTGAAGTTGGTTTCGGATGTTTCGGTTCCAAGATGTACCAGGGTTGTTGACCAATCTGGAGCATGTGCGTCCAGGAGGGCGAACCAGACCCTCCATTTGGGCATATCTTTGCCGGATTCATGATCTTCTGCATGCTCGGCCGGGCTGCACAGCCTGATCTTGGGGTTGTACCATACCATGCCCTCACTAGGAAGAGGACAGGATGGGTTTCAGTCGACGGTGCATGAAGATTTGAACCATTTATTCTGTGGGTCTGCAATCTCTTGATTCCAAGTAATTCTGTGAGCCCACGCTTCCTCGAAAGTGTCCATACACAATTGTGAAGCACCACAGTGACACTGAAGCAAAGGGTCTATCTACTCAAGTAGCTCATCGCATTGCAACGGTTTTGCTCAGGCAGCCGGTGTTTTTCCCTTGCTGGGCATCAAATGTCAAACGAAAGAGTTGGTCTCTCGGCTTGGAAACAAGGTAAAGAAACTCCCAGCTGAGTCGGAGCTTCTTTCCCCCTTTCGCAACCTTCTGAATCCCATCCCCCTGATATTCAACACCCCATCTAGATGGTCCCAATCCACGTACATCCACCATGGGTTTCTGGGCGGTGTTTCATATTAGGGGGATGGGATTACTTCTAGTTGGTCAGTTGTAAGCCATGAACTATCACCATTAAAATCATTCATCTCCCGTTAGATCACCATTTTTGATGGTTAAACCCCAACAAACCACTGATTGTGAGGACTCTATACACTCTTCGCGGCGGCTGCATGCCATGCCACCGTTCTGCTGACAGAGTCCGTTTCTCTTCGCTTGCATCTTGGCAGACAGCGGCAGGAAAAGAATACAAAAAGATGGAAAGGAACAGTCACACCGGATATGCGATCTATGTGCGCATATATACAGATGGTGCTGTATACCTACGGATGCATGCATATATACACATATCTATATCCATATCCACACGCATATATATATATATATATATGTAAAAACTCCTGCAGTAAAACCATGTATAATATATGTCATCGATCTACTCTGTAGCGTTGGTTCAAAACAGTGCTGACCGCTTAACGGTTTGTTGTATTTATCCCCATTTCCGGTTGACCTGGTAAAATACAGGTTATCAGCCGTAGTCTCACTACTTTGCTATGGGGACCCCAATTGACCATCCTCTCGCCGTTCCAGGGTCAGGTCCATCGGCTGTCGCTGTGCCCAATATGGCCGGGGGCAACCCCGAGCCGATGGATGACGAGACAATGTTCCAACCCGTTGTAGCGTACTTTACCTTCATACAAAACAACCTGTCCCAGATCACTAGTGGGAATACCCTGCAAGTCATGAGGGAAGCTGAACAGAGGCACCTTCAGATAATGCATGGAGTAGTTGACTCAATTCGAAACGAATGGTCAAGTAGACTCGTAATGCAAGAGCAGGAGTATGAGCAAAGGCTGCAGGAGGTTGAAGGTAAAGCCATTAGTGCCGTCAACGAGGAGAGGAAACGAGGCGACGAGATGGAGGTCAGGTTGAATCAGGCTCAGGCATCGCATGACAAAAGAATAGAGGATGTTAAGGCAGAGGCAAACACAAAGCATGATCAGAAAATTGCAGAGGAAAGGCAACGTATCACTAGTGAGTTCGAAGCTTCCTATGCACAGACAGTTGAACATGCAAAGAATGCCATAGCTGCCACAAAGAAGCAATATGAAGATCAGGCTGCAATTGATCAGGCCAGGTTCATCAGTTTGAGGACTGAGTTCGAGAACTACAAGAAGGAGATGGCCGACAAGATCAACGAGGCAGCGGCTCAGAACCTTAGCCTTCAGGACCAAATCGATGACCTTCAGGAGCAGTTAAAGCATGTTGCCAAAGCGCAGCATGCCTCCGTTCCGAGAGCATCCGTCCAGAACGCTGAGCCGGCCGCTACCACTAGCGTGCCCCACTTCAATATTGCCACTCCCAAAGCATCCGATGCACAGGCTGCCAAAGGCAGTGATGAGCCGATTCATGAGTTGAAAACGCCTGCAGTGTTGGCACAAGAAGCAAAGGCCAAGTTGGATGAGCTGCTCAAAGGTGGCAGTCCCAAGCAAAAGCCGGCTGTCGGCAACGACCAGCCTCAATTGCCAACGCAGTCAGGGTTTTTCACTCCCACTGAAGCTGTCAAAACTCCCCCAAATGACTCCCCTAAGAGCGTAACCAAGCAACAGCAAGTGATGGGTCCCTCAGATCTTATTGAATTGGTGAAAGCCTTAACCCAAAGGGAAGAAAAGGATAAGCCAAAAACTAAGGAGGCCGAAATCATCAAGCTGAACAACATGCCCGCTCCGGAGTCGTATAGGACTTGGAAGAATCATGTCAGGGATGAAGTGAAAAGCTGTTCAGATCGCCCGGATGAGGCGTGGCTCTGGCTCAACGAGGTGTACGATCAAGAGTGCACCAGAGAGCAGTTGGAGAAGAAACTCCAAGATCCTGGAAAGTTCCTCACGCTGGATACAAAGTTATCAGCAGCGCTCACACGCTCAGCCGGAGGGGACCTCGCAACTAGGATCTTGAATTTCAAAGAGCAGCAATCCCGAAAAGGCATCCAGGTCAGGGGAAGGTATGTTCTGCTCATGTTTGAGGACTACTTCAAGACATCAGAAGAAGCAGGTAGCCTTTACAGAGTAGAAGATCTTTTGGGTGTTGTCAAAGTAGGCGATACTGTCCAGGATCTCCGAAGATTTATCAACAAATGGGATGCTACCCTAGCTGGCATGGCTGTCACCCCCGATGATGCTGTGTTAAGGGACATCTTGTTGAGGCAGATCCGACCAAGCCAGTTGCTGAAATATGACATCGAGATGTTTGACCGTGCACATGAGAAATCCCATGAAAAGTCTTATAGTTTTCTTCGCCAATCCATGAAGAACTTGATCGATCGTGAACGATTGAGGGAGAACAGGAACCGCATCGCGGAGAAGAACAAGGCTGGGATCAAGGACACAAAGGCCGCACCTGCCAAAGGCGATGGTCGCGGTGGCCGAAAGGGCTCTCCAAGTCGTGGTAGATCGCAGGAACGAGGTGGCAAAGGTGACAAAATTTGCTATAAGTTCCAAAAGGGTACCTGTGATAAGGGGAAGAAGTGTCCATTCAAGCATGTCAAAGATGACAAATCTCGAACTCAATCACCCAGAAGAACCAAAACACGTTCACCATCAAGGGGCAATAAAGATGATAAGGGGAAGAAGATGTCCAAGGAAGAAATGGCCAAAACCCCATGTATCTATCATGCCCAGGGAAAGTGCAGACGTGGTGACAAATGTTTTTATAAGCATGATGACAAAGCCGCTGCCGCCACCAAAGACACCAAAAGGGCCAATTCACCCGCTCCCAAGAAGAAGAGCAAGGATTCCACAGCCGCTCCATGCCTGATCCAGAAGTTTGCATGCATCGTCCGAAAACAGCCGAAGGCAACTTCGTGCTCCGATGAGTCAAGTGTCAGCATGAAGCGTCTTAGATTCCGAAAGGCCCCACATGTGATCGAGGTGAAAGCAGTTGGTCGTCAAGTCCCAGTCAAGCACCGTCCGAGAGAGTTCACTAAGGTGTACAAGACAGCTGAAGATGTTCCGGTTTCATCAAAGGTTGAACAACATGAGGCTCAGGTTCGTGCAAGACAGCTTCAAGAAACTGTGAAACTTCATGATTCAGATGTTGCACCTAGTTGTGGGTTTTGTTGTTGGAATGAGGACACACGTGACATCACATGCAAAGAGTGCAGGTTCATCAGCGGTCCCAAAGCTCTTAGAGACATTGGTCGTTTCCCGTCAATTGCCACAGCTGCGCCAAAGGCCGGCGTTAGTTGGCTTGTCGACTCAGGTAGTGAATCTGATCTTGTGTCCAAGGGTATGTTGAGGGATGTTAGCGCCAAGAACTGCCGTGCAGCCGAGCATCCGATTTCCTTAGTCACAGCCAATGGTTCGACCGAGGCCAATGAGGTTGCTGATGTCAAGTTGTCCGCATTGCCAGATCCCGTGCATCCGTATGTACTTGATCATACCCCAGCTGTGCTCTCCGTAGGAACAAGATGTGTAGATCAGGGTTACAGTTTCGTATGGCCTGCCAATGGCAAACCAATCCTAGTCCGTCCAGATGACAAGGTCGTCCAGCTCAAGATCGAAGGTCATGTCCCAATCTTGGATGATAGTTGCAAGGTTTATCCCAAAGATCAATTTCAAAAGGATAAGCACCTCAAAAAGTTGTTTGCAATGCCGACCTCACGGTCGAGCTCGAAAGCCAAGCGGGACGAAGCCCAAGATGAAGAGCAATTGGACGAGCTGGTGGAGGATGACGCTCAGCAGGAGTACATCCGAAGCCGCAAGACTGAGGATTTGCTGGCTGAAGCTGCAAGTACCCAACATCAGTACACTCATTTCCCCAAGAACCCCTTTTGCAGAACCTGCCAACGAGCAAGGATGATGGCACCTCAGGCACGAAAGAAAGGTGGTCAGAAGAGAATCGAAACTGAAGTGTTTGGTGACCACGTCATTGGGGATCATGTCATCATCAAGAAAAATGTAGAAGAGGGTTTCAGGGGGGAGCAAGTTGCATTGGTGTTGAAAGATCTGCACACCCAATATCGGTATGTCTACCCTAGCCAGTCCAAGGACTCACAAAGCTGTGTTGATGGTTTGAATCACTTCATTGGATCAAAGGATGATGTTCAAGTTGTGTACACTGACAATTCCCCAGAATTGATCAGGGCCATCAAGGATTTGGGTTACAGACACCAAACTTCCATTGAATATGTAGATTCATCAAAGTCTTTTGCTGAGCGCGAAGTTCGTCAGATGTTGGAAGGTGCCCGGAGCAACTTGTTGCAATCAGGACTTCCTTTGAAGATGTGGCCATTGGCCATGCAGCATCACGCGACCGCGATCAATGCAAGCCCCCAGCTTGACGGCAGTGAATCCCCGTGGCAACTCAGGTTTGGTGAAGAGTTCCCTGCTATGCACATTCCATTTGGTGCCAAAGTGTTGTTCTGGAATAACCCCAAGAGGTTGGATAACACATCAGGTAAACTCTCCCCAACAGCAAATGAAGGAATTTTCCTTGGGTATTACATCCAACCAGGTCATGATTGGAAGGGTGAATACTTAGTTGCCAAGTTGGAAGCCGCAGATTATCATGTCAACTGGGGTGCACTGACAATCCAAAGAACAAAGAGGTTGGAATTGCCATCCGAGGGTTTCATCTTTCCTTTGAAAGCTCTGATTGACTCGAAAGCACCCAAAGCCGATCGCCTTGAGGATCAGGTCATTCCGCAGACACCCAAAGCTGTGCCACTTGAGTCCAGTTTGCATCCGCCACAAGATGAGTATGAATACGAGCCAGGAACGCCTCTGCCAGCCGACAGCGATGTCGAGCCTGATGCACCCGAAGCGCCCGTATTTCCAGATCTCAAATTGACCCCCAAAGGTGAAATTATTCCAGATGGACATCATTGGGATGGTCACCGGATTGTATGTAACTACAAAGGTTCAAAGCGTCCGGAGGGGATCGACTCAGAACTGTGGAAGATGTTAGGACCCCAAGATAGGAAGTTGATCATCGAGGAAGAAGCAAAGAAAGCAGCCAAGGAGCAGGAGGAAAAGCCAGCAACGTCATCTGGCAGCAAGGGCAAAAAGAAGAAGTCTTCACCGGCCCGGCTTGAGGCAACTCAATGCCCTCCTGCAACGGCAAAGCTCGTAGGCAATGTTTGGGAAATTGTTCCAGCCACTTCCCAAAAGTTTTCCGTGCCGGCAATGCCAAAAGCTGCCGCGCCTGCCACAATTGAGCA